GTCATCACCACCCTTTCCCCCCCCCCCCACCACCACCATCAACATCATCACCTACCATCGATTGCTACCACTGTTATTCACTGCCACCACCAACCATCATCGTCATCTCATTCTTGTATTTATTACAACTACTACCATTATCTCACTACCATCGTTGACCACCGTTAGCACTCACCACCATCATTGTTGCCCACCATCACTACCAACTACTATTACCAACACCCACGACATCTACCACCACCCCGTCATTGTTGACCACTGCTGTCATCCACTCCCATCACATCTACCACCACCACCACCACTGCCATTCGCCACCACCTATCACATTGTCACCCAAAAACACCCATCGTCGTCCATCACCACCATCGTTACCGCCCACCACCACCTCCACCGCCGTTGCCCCACCACCGTCAATGCCAACCATCATCACCGTCACCCATCACCACCATTGTCAATCACCATTATCGTCGCCTATCACCACCACCCACACCCCACCACCACAAATATCGCTACTCATGGTTGCCACTGCCACCATCGTCACCCAAAATTCACCACAATTATCACCGTTGTGACTCACGAATGCCACCATCACCACGGTCGTCATCACCCACCACAATCATCGTCATTTCCCATCACCACCACTGCTGCCAACCATCATTGCCACCGTTTAGCACCACTAGTGTTTAAAATTTTTTTTTATCCTCTTTGTTTGTGACTTAATTTTGGGTATGAATACAAATATGTTTATTATTGACTTTGTTTTTATTACTTCATGCCTTCAGGCACGAGAAATAACTAATACTCTTATATGTAACTCAATCTTTCGTTTAATTTCTTTTTTCAATTTTTTTTTAGGAATAAAAAAAAGAGAATACTATGTAACCCAAATTTGCATCGCAAATGAACGAGGACAATTAGATTAATGAGTCTCATCAACTTTTTAAAATGGGAAGTATTGATCTAATGGTCTTTATTAAATTGGAATACAAATTTGAGTTACATAACATTGTTAAAAAAAAAATTCAGTTCCCTTAATAATAATAGAGGGTGGTATACTCTCTCTCTCTCTCTCTCTCTCTCTCATGTATTTAATATCACAACCTCCACCTTGATCAGCCCTTTCAACCTCAAAAGCTCAAAATAAAAATGAGTAATGTTAGACTGATCAAATTTTGGGACCAAATTTAGAGTCCAAATGACATGGCAGTTGATAATTTAAAATTTTTATTGGGGTCCAAATGACATGACACAAATCAAAAAAAATCCAAATCAACTGTCATGTCATTTGAGCTCTAAATTTGGTCCCAAAATTTGGTCAGTCTAACATTACTGAATAAAAATTGTTTGTTTCACCTTCAATAAGCTTTCTAATATGTCTCATTCTACATATATTTGGCAAAAAAACCATGATGGTTGTGCCTTCTCCACCACCACTAGGAAGTACAAAGTCGAGAAAATTTGGAGTTCCAACCATTGATCTTTCTATCGAGAGGTCTCACTTGTCACAGCTAATTGTAAACGCATGCAAAGAATTTGGATTCTTCAAAGTGGTTAACCATGGTGTTTCCAAAGAGATAATTGGGAGAATGGAAAAGGAGGGGTCATACTTTTTTCGCTAAATCAACTTGTGAGAAGCAACAAGCACGAGCTGGACCGGCAAGTCCGTTCAGTTATGGTTGCAATAATATTGGCTTCAATGGCGTTATGGGGGCGGTTGAGTATCTTATCCTTCAAGCCAACTCGCTTTTTATTTCGGAAACATCCAAATTTATCTCCAAGGACCCAACAAAGTTCAAGTATTTATGTATAACTCGTATATAAATGGCATCAATCTCCTTTCTATAACATGTCATGTGTGTTAATCTCTCTCTCTCTCTCTCTTCCCAAGTTTTGGGTGCAATTTTTCGGGTATTAACTAATGTACGTTATATGTTTATTATAAAGGCTACAATGTTGATGCAAAGACTAATACTCCGTTTGGTATGATGAAAAAATAAAAGGATAAAAAGTTGAAATGATGAAAAGTTAGAGAGAAAAATAAAACATTAAGTTTGGTAAGGAAGAAAAATATGAATAATGAAAAAGTAGATGAATTAATTTTCATTTCAATTCACCCAAATCAATCCCTCCAAAATCAGAAGGAAAGTGGATGGAAAGTTAATTATTAGTGTTGAGATATATCTTATTTGTCTATATATATTATGTATATATTAATTTCATATAAAAATACAATAATAAAATATGTATTTATATATATATTTTTTTAAAAAATAAATTTTAAATTAAAAAAATATTTTTTTCCATCTTAACTAGGGGTGAAAATTTTTGACTCAACACGATGACACAACTTGAATTCGATACAAATTTTATGACACGAACTTGATTAATTTGAACACAAAAATAAACAGGTCAACTCGTAACTCGACATGACACAATTAATTAAATGAGTTGAGTTAGGTGTCATTAATGTTCGACATAAACCCGTAATGACTCAATACAAATCTGACACGATATGACTCGATTGTCACCCTAATCTTAGCTAGTAGAAAAAAAAAAAATTAGTCATTTTTATTTTCTATCAATCCAATCAAACATAAAGGAAGGAAAATATATCATTTCTATTTTTCTTCCTTGAAGAATAGAAAATGTATCCCTTTTACTTTCCATCATTCTTACAAAACGGAACATTAAGGTTTTCATATGTATGCTAAGTGAGTGAGATGTATTCATTTTTTTCACAGCTGTTTGGAAGTTCACCTTATTTTTTCCTTTGCACATATTTGATAGAACCTTGAAATAAAAAGAGTAAAATATGTGATTGTGAAGTTGAATTAGAAAAATATTATTCGTTATCATAAAAAGATGAAAAATTTTACGATATCCAAAGTTTTTTTTTGAATAATTGAGAACAAAGGTATTGAGAGTAACACAAAAGTCAAGAACAAATCAATAACTTTCCAATCAAATCAAATCAAAAAGCAAAAATAAGACCACTCACTCATCCAGTCCATGCCACATTTAGGAAGAAAATGGAAAGCTATTTACCGGGATCCCTATCCCTCATTCATCGAATATTATCACATGGATATTCGAATATTATCTAATCCATGAATTATAAAATCAGAGAGAGGTTAAAGAGACCCCAGCATAGCGTCAGGGGAGGCCCCTCCGATGCCTAAGTCAGTATTACGATCAACACATCAATAGGCTAATGTACAAAACTAAGAAAATAATATAGGTGTGTGTGTGGAGTATGGAGCCGATGTGCTTATACTTGAGTCCTCCTACCTTTGGGTATTCACCCATCTTTATAGACAAAGTGGAGAACCACTTACCGTGGAGAGGTCATATTCCTTGAATAAATTGAGATTTGTGTTTTTGAAGGTATTAAAAATTGTACTCGACACTAATTGGTCAATCAACAAAGTTGGCAACTTTTTGTTTGTCTTGAGAAGATAAATTATGGGTCCTCTTATGATATACTTATGTGATGTGGTGTCTCCTCCTTTGATGCAAAATATGGTCCATCAGTTGCATATAATGGATGAAGGACGATTGTATTGCATTTAAATGGGGAGTTTTTCCTTTAAGAGCATTCCTAGTGTCTTTTTTTTTTTTTTTGGGAAGGTCTAGGAGTGCTCAAGGAAGAAGTAAGTAGGATGAAGAAAAGCTAGTCTTGAAGTCATTTCATCACGATTATTTTTTTATTTGGTAAATTAATATTTTGAATAAAATCAGGGTAATGCTTTCATATGGGTACAGTTTATTGTGTATTGTGATTAACATGATTTTTTTTCCCGTCTCTTTTAAACAGAAAGTATGTGATGCAACTTAAAAAAATGCTAATAATACCAAAGGGGTGCCCAAGTCTATCCTCAACATTGTCAAAAACACATTTCCACTAAAATGACTACTTCCATTCAAATTATTACCATAATTACAACTAAGATTGAAAAAGACTCATTGGGCTCTCGTCATGATTATTTCTTACAATTAAAGTCCCTCTAGTCCAAACAAAGTGTTTACAACAGATTTAACGATTGGGAGTTTTGATATTATTAATTCTTTTTTTGGGGGTTTTCACTTTGAAGAATTTTATTTTGGGATTTGTTGGTATTTCTCCCTAAATTGTATGATATTCTTATTATGTAATTACTCATAGCTGATATGATCGAACCACACGATATCCGCCCTAATTAGTTCGACTTTCTTATCATATAACTCTTGAGATATATATATCGTGTTTACCAACCAAAGACCAAAATCCATTATTCGAGAACTATGCAGTGGCCAACTCTCTCTCTCTCTCACACAAATATTGTTGAACGCTCATTGACTCATGACTCATATAAAGAGAGCTTGGATGGCCAACTCCATAGAAAACTTACACACAGCATGGTTTGCATGAAAAATGATCAGGTTCCAAATAATCTTTGACATATATGATCCGAAGTCTATGCTGCATGAAGAAGCTAATTCCTCAACTTTTCTCAATATTCCAATTCTGGCCTTTGGGGTCAAAAATTAACTACAGTTCCGGGATCTATTACACAAGAAAAACTTAAAACAAATTGGGCAATTTAGAAATTGACGAGGGTAGTCTCGAAATTAAACTCTATTAGTACTGGAGAAAAGAACAGATAGATTTCTTTTGGGGGGTGGGGAGATGCTTTTCGTGAACTCAAAACGGTAGTTGAGGTGGTAATATGTTATAATAATTAATAAATGAGAAAGAGCAATGAAGAAGAAGAAAGTCCTATTCTTATTCAATTGATTAACAGTGTGTGTGTGTCTGTCTGTCTAATATATATAGCTCTTGGTAGGCTTGAAGCATATATGGCTTCTTTAATGTTGCTGCTGGAAGCTCTGATGAGATATTGCCAAGACATTCATGATTTGGCAGTGCCACTGCCAGGGGAGAAGTGGAAGGAGATAGAGCATGTCACCTGTGAAAATTTGATGAAAAGGCAATGGACTACTGATGAGGTGAGCTCTAGCAAGCACTATCACCACTGTGTTTGGAATTGGAGTACTGTTGAAAGTATAGATGACAATCTCCAGACCTGGAAGATAGCTGAGGGTTGCATTTGGCTTTAAAACCCGGCTGCATGTATGCTATAATTCCTCCTTGAATTTGTCTTTCCAAGTGTACATATATCAGGAAATGATATATATCTATATATATATTACCGGTTTTCTATCACCACTTTATGTAATGCTTTACATGGATGGTGGCATCTCACCTTGATGACAAAAGACATATGTTTCATTCAAATATTCCCTCAAAAAAGTTGCAACGAGGAGATTTTATTTTATCATGATCACCTGGTACATCTACTATGACAAGATGAATTGTTTTTGTTTTGGTAACAAACAGGATTCAATTTGAAGGCCTTGCTTCATCTTGCTGATTTTACTATAATCGAAAATGAATGAATAGTTGATTCTTAATGTCTGATAAGCCAGGTGTCACCATCAACATAATAAGTCCCCATAAATGGCATGGCCTCTTCATCTGAGAGTGCCCGTGACCAAGGCACTCTTCCACTCAAGTTGGCTCCTGGTCCGCTGCACTTGTATTCTCCATAATATACACTTCTGTTGAAAGGAAAATTTAGAGCAAAACAAACAAACATGTCAGCCAATTCTATGTTTTATCCTTCTACAGATAACACAATATAGCCACTGCATACTTTCAATTAAGTCAGGATGATATTTGTTTCAAGTCCTATGATGAATAATCCAAAACAATAAAGACGAGTCTCAAAATAAAGTTATTGGGTTGTAACTTACAAGTTGCGGCCAGGTTTGCCCCAATCGCTCCATCCTTGGGGAAGAACAATCTTGTCCATGAATGTGTAAGAGAACACTACCCTGGAATAATCACCCCATGCTCTTCCAAGGTATACCTGCCCACTCCCTGATACCTTGCTATCTTTGAAGGAGAATCCACTGGACATAGAGGAATTAGTTCGCTTTTGAGCAGTTAGGGAGGCCACCTTCTTCGCCGTGGAGTTCAAATAGCAATTCTACACATGCATTCAGAGAAAGCCAGTACTGTTGTTCATGTACATTGTCCTATCATTCTTAATTAGCCAAGCAAAATAGCCATTTCATTACTTAAGAGGTCTAGTCATATTTTTATTTATTGAGGCCTAATCATTCCTCCAATATATCAAGGGCCTAGTCATTCCTCCTCTAAACTCAAACTGAAAGTTATACATTTTTCTAAGACTCTGTAAATCTAATCTTCGTCTAACAGTTGCTGAAACACATGCAGCCAACAATCCAAGAACAAAATCACAGAGATACCTGTATATGAAGTTGTGGCTTACCTCGTAAAGGGATCTGCCATAGCCGAAGATGAAATCAACCGAGCCCTGGATGAAACAGTTATTGAAGTAGTGGAGGCCTTTGTGATCATAAAGGGTGTCTTGACTTCCATAGAAGCTGCAGTTATAGAATGCAGCCTTTGTCCCTGAAATTCGAAGTGCCACTGCTTGTCCACCAATTGATCCAACCACATGTGGGGCTGTGTTCTGCACTAGCTAGCACATATTTATAATAATAATTACTAAAATATATATGATTGTAATTATCATGCACTTTACGTACGTTGATGTTGTTGTTGGGTTATAGTCCATTAGTAAGAGGCTGTTTGGTGAAGCAAGAAATTGCAAGCAAGGCAGGCACTTTATGTCCAAGTATGCTGGACAACACATTTTGGCTGGGCATTACAATAATCTCTCATCTTGTGCTTTTTGTAGCACCCCACCATTCGGACTTTCAATTGTGCTTCTTTATGTGAACCATGTACGACCTTGTCATTGACAATTTTTTTAAAAAAATTATTGTATACTTGCCTCAAATTTCATGTTAACAGCCACAAAATAATTTGCATCAATGGCAACAGTGGCACTCTGTAACGTCTTTAAAGGCATCCCATCTCGTCCAGACATCGAAGCGGTGTCATTGCCAGTGATAATTGGTGGGTCGCTGCCATCTCCTCCTGAAAATTTAATAAATGGCAAAGTTCTGGGGATAACAATCTTTTCCCTGGAAATGTTGCTAGTTAGTTTCCTGCTATATGAAACTCATCACTGACTAAAGAGTATAATATGGATAATTAATAACCCATATTCTAAGGTAAGTGCAATATGTATACCTGTAGACTCCTAGTTTAATCTCCAGAATCACTCTTCTAGTATTGAATAAAGGGATGCTATCAATGGCTTCTCCGATGGTCTTGAAATCACCAGACCCATCTTGACTCACTCTTATTGTCACTTTGTTCATCTCAGCAAAACTCAGTTTTGCATCTAAATGCTTCATGCTGGTGCCCCCCGCAGCTTGTCTGATAATTGATTCTGCTTCCAAACTAGTTTTCTTCATCTGGTAATTTTTGACATTCCACCGCACCCATTTTTGGTATTCATTAATATTTCTCTCTACCTCTAGCCTCGGTGAACAGAACGTCAAAGACAGACTGGAAAGAGGGAAGACGAAGACAAGTAGCTGGAGATGGGTTTTGGAAGCCATGGATGGACAGAGACCTGAATGTGATGGTGAGAGTGCTAAAATAGTGAAGTTGCATGAGATAATTAAGATCGATATTGGACGAGGGTAGTAAGGATGCTGGCAGTCTCTCTAATTGAATTTACGAAAATATCCTTGTAGCTCCTTGGGCATTAATGACTTTGAGGTTACGAAATTACAAAAATATCATATTAACTTGGATCAATTTTGTTTGTGCCAATTAAATGGAAGAGGTTGACTGACAGAAATACCAAAAATGATTGATTAGGCCCACTAGACCTTTATTTGTGTACTGTGTGTTACGAAGGGCCCAGACCCAGAAAAGGGGGCATTGGCGGGATAAATCACTACAACTACAAGTGGTTCTCCCAATACTTGAATAGGTATGTATAGATAGGTGTCCCCCAACTCTACTAGACATATTCTGATGTGGTACAGGCTGCAAGCCAATACAACCCCGTGAGAGAGAGAGAGAGAGTGCAGCATAGCTGTATTCCATCTGATTTTGCTTCTCTAGAGGCCAGAATTCGTTCGTTCTGAATGGTACCCCACACAACATCGCACAGAGTCTGGAGGGTGAGGAAAAGGTACCAAGGTGTAACATTTTCTGTCTGTAATACACAGACGATAGATAGATAGCACGGACGGGGCAAGCGAATGTGCACTAAAATGTTGTAATTCGGGACTAATTAAGGTCAATAGTACGTCACTTCCTTCAATTATTATGGGATTCACTAAATTTCCAAATAACAGTTTTCACAAGAAGTTAAAATCACCTTCTATTTCTGTTCTAATTTTCTTTAAAATGCCAACGTTTTTTTAAAGAAAAATGCACACCATGACTAATCAGATTGAATGTACTATTTGTGCGTTTTGGTTAAAATGTAGTGCGGGTCTCTATGTCTACAAAATAGGCCTAACATTGAAACCTCTTAATCACAGGAGTGTGGGAGTGTGGTTTTTTTTTGGCTGGTAGAATTAGAGTGGGTTAGGCAATGAAAGATTGTACTCCCTTTCTCATGTAGCCCTTACGGTCCGATAGGGTAAATGAAACAATAAAAGAATAAAAAGTGAAAGTGGATACATTTTCTATCCTTTAAATTCAAAGGAAAAATTCTTCCTTCTCTCTTTTACATTTGGTAAGAGGGATGACAAATATTTGATAAAATGAAAAAAGTATTTTTTATATTTTTATTTTTTTTATATAAATACATATTTTATCATTATGCCTATATATGAAATTAATATATAGATAATATGTAATTGATATATATGATATTTGTACATATCAAATAATATATAGACAAATAACATATCTTTCGATCCACATAATTGAATTTTCATCCGCTTTTTCTCTCAATTTTGAAAGAATTAATTTTGATGAGTTAAAAGAAAAAAACTCATCCATCTACTTTTTTCTATCAAATATGATATTTTATTCATCTCTCAAACTTTTTATCATTTTATTGTTCCATCGTACCAGATGAAACATAAATTTGGTTAATATATATATACTAATTATTGTCTGTGCCTGAAGACACATAATAAAAAATGATAAACAGTAAACATATTTGTATTCATATCTAAAATAAAATCATAAATATAGAAGAGTGATAAATAAATTTAAGCATCGGTTAAAGTGGAGGTGAGAGGTGATGGGCGACAGTAACGGTGGTAGAAGACGGTGATGATTGTAGTGAGTATCAAAGACTATGATGGCAGTGGTGGTGGTGGTAGAGGTAGTGGTGGTGGGGATGATGGTGGTAGAGGTAATGGTGAGACGATTCTAATTTTTTTTTTTTAAAAAATACTTATGAGAAATAATTCTTAGAAGTACTTTTAAAAAATCATTTCAAACACACCCTTAGAGACCTATTTTCTTCTTATTAAATTTAAGGTGATAATATAATCCGTTAGATTAACTTTAAAATAAAATTTAAAACGATTTAAACCGCAAAAAATAAAAATTATTTTATTTATCTTTTAAAATTTAAATTATAAACTACTTTATTTTATAGATTAGCCCAACTTTTTATTGAGTTACTGATGTTTTACAATTGACCTTCATTAACCACATAAACAGAGACACGAGAATTGCGCTAGTCCACTAGGAACTGGTTTTGATTTAAGAGAACCAAAAACCCCATTGCTAACAATAGAAAAAAACCAGAGAGGATAGAGATAGACTATCAATCCAAATTTTAAGTGCAATGTTTCGAGATCAATCATATACACTATTTAACAAAGGATTATTTCAAATGAAAGTCTCATAATCATATAAGAAAAGAAGATTCATGGATAATAAAAAAAAGAAAAGAAAATTGAAACTTATTCAGAAACTACAGGAAACAAATGGTACTGTCTGTCTGCTAAAGAAATCTCAAAACATGGTAAAGAAACAAACACATCAACCGGGAACATTGCCCAAAACAATAAGGAAAGGTTAAAGACTGTTACACTGTGGTCACAATACAGCCTCAAAACAAGCTGTCTATGCCTGCAATTACAGTAACACAAACATCAGACAACATGAACAGCATAGAATCAAAATCATCCCCCAAAAATAAATAAATAAATAAAAATAAAGGCACTAATCTTCAAGAAGCTTAACACTTAGATATGTAATGTTTATTATCTGCATTGCCCACCTTGTTTGCAATGTTGTTTGAAAGCCAGTCCAGCCCCTCGTAGAGACCTTCACCAGAGGTAGCACATGTGCTTTGGATGTACCTGTAATGGATGTATATAGAAACTCAGTTAGGTCCAGCATGACAAGTCTCAGTTAGGTCCAGCATGACAAGTGCTGGCGACCAGCAAATCCTTGAATGTATGTGTGTGTGTGTGCGAGAGAGAGAGACCAATGGCGTTGGCGAAGAGAGTGAAGACCAAGCTTGTCGGTTATCTCAGCAGCATTCATTGCATTTGGAAGATCTTGCTTGTTCGCAAATACTAGCAGCACAGCATCCCTTAATTCATCCTGGCAAGGACAACAAACTCTTCAATCATTGAAAGAACACCATAAGATGCACTGATCAAAATGCAGGTGAAAGAATCTTCGAAGATGTGTGCATTTCAAAGGGAGTATAAGATTATTCCATTTTTTTCCTCTTTTCGTTTAAGACAAGATACGAGAAGAGGAAAATAACCATATTCGACTAGTGCATGCCAAAAGGTTCAGGGCGTTCTATTACCTCATTCAACATTCTGTGAAGCTCATCCCTTGCTTCAACCACACGATCTCGGTCATTGCTATCAACCACAAAGATGAGACCCTGAGTGTTTTGAAAGTAATGCCTCCACAAAGGTCGGATCTGGATAAACAAAATCCATAAGAGATCATGCGTTTGAGCAATCAAGCGATCAAATGTTCACTATTAGGAATCCTATCTTCATAAGCATTTATAATTAGAAACAAAGAAGAAATTTAGTCACAACTTTACAAGAGTCGAATCAAACCATATAACAGCAAGGGTATCAGTCCACATTTTTTGTCCTAAAAAGTAATGTATAAACAGAGGAAAATATTCCCACTTACAACATAAATGGACATTTTTGTAGTTAAATCTTATGTGTCAATGGCACTGCATTATGTGTCTCTATGTCTTATGTATGTTATATCAGAATGCCAGCCTACACAGATACATTCTTTACATAAATGGATTTTAGCTTATGATGTTGTTTAATACTGAGGAATGCCAAACTGGCACCAGATCCTCAGCATTGGTATGGGCTACAAGACATGGTATTCCAAAGAAATCTTGGAAACTCCCATTTCTTCACTGCTCGCTCTCCAAAAAATACTTCACTTGAAATAAGAAAATATAATTCTCGTTAGTTAAATAAAGGAACCACGGAAATGCAGTTCTCAATCATAGAATTGCCTGGCCAAAAAGATTAATTCATGAAATCTCCTTCAGATACACATTTGCCTCAAGCATCATCATGTGAAGGAAAACCATTTTTTTTTTCCTGCTAGTGGCTTGACTGAAGCAAGGCTAAAGAACAATAGAATCTGGAGAATCAAGGGATTTGCCACTACCTGACTGACACCAACACAACACTCTCCAACCTAACTCCACTATCAAGTCTGCCTCCCTAAACAAGCTCCAACTGGAGTGTCGTTTTTTTGACATGTTTTTCCTATACAAACTTCAATGACATCACCAAATGCTTCTGCACACTATTAAAACTTGCCTGGATGGTGAAGTGCCAAAAAGAGGGCCATTCATACAGACAAATTACCTTTTTTCATCAATTACCTCAGAGCCCTCTTACCCGCCTCATGGTCAGCAGAGCACCATTTAGTTAAGGATGGGTATCAGATGTCAACCATGAAGAAAACAGGCTTATAACTATTCTCATAAAACCACTTGTTTTCAAAATATCATCTAAATAGATATATTAATTATCCTGATCACAATATGTTCAATTTGTTTAGAATTATCCTGACCATTTGATGCAGCTATCATAAACAAATGAATTTTGTGCAAGGCATATGATGCAGTAAATACCATGGAACAAAAAGATAATTTTACATCTTGAAAGGTAAATAATTATTGGGATTGAAGCCTGCAGTGTAAAATTAAAGTCCAAAATAGTTTGACACAAAACTGGAAGCAAAACTCATTAAAGGGACGGAGCTACTACATATGAACAATTAATTTGCTTACCTTGTCTTGGCCACCAACATCCCAAACAGTAAAGCTAATATTCTTATATTCCACAGTCTCCACATTAAATCCTGACCAAATCAAATATCAGTCTCAAAGCAAAAAGATATTGATCCACTTCCAAAGAAAAAAAAATAGTATTTTAATGACAAAAACGATGTAAACAGCAGCACCATCACACCTAGGGTAATGACTGAAAAATCCAATATCATAGTCCATAAAATGACTGGAAGAGCAAACATGAATAACTATTCAATGCAATAATGCATTTTTACCAAACTGAAATTTACTTTTAAGCAATGCAATGAACAGAAAGACTAACCCACAAGTGGAGGTAAGTTTGTATGATTAAGAATTTTTTTGGATGTTTTGCATTACAATACAGAAACAACAATGCAGACAAGGACCAGAAATGCATAAAAAATAAAAATGCTTGAATTCTGAAGATAAAATTCCTATATAAATAAAAAAGAGAAAATTTAGAGCACCAAAATAAATTTGGGAGAAGGCATACACACTTAAAACACTGAGTTCATCCAGCCAAAAATGGCAATGTACATTCTACAAAAACTAGTAAGAAACAAAAAAATATATTTCCACAAAATTACCAATGGTGGGGATTGTAGTCACTATTTCTCCCAGCTTGAGCTTGTACAGAATGGTTGTTTTACCAGCAGCATCAAGACCAACCATCAATATGCGCATCTCTTTCTTTGCAAAAAGCCGACTAAAGAGCTTGGTGAAAGACAGCCCCATCTTTGTGTCTGCTAAGCCCAACCATCCAGAATGAAGTCATAAAATTGTTTGAACCAAAGAATTTGGAAAGAAAAAGCAACGTATGAAATGTTTGTTCAGAGAACCAGCAGTGCAGTTTTCAAATCTTCAGCACCCAAATTTTTAAATAACTCAATGTAATCAAATCTTCCCATGTAATATAATAATATCATGAATACATTGGATTTCAGCATTGAAAGTCAACAAACAAAGAAAAAGAAAATGATAAAATTGGACACCAGGGTACAAGCATGGGCAACCTACCCCTTAGATGCGAAAAAAAAAAAAAGAAGAACAAGCGTGCGATAAACCCTTTCAAAATGATCGATCTTTGTTACTTGATCTAGCATATGGCTATGAACAGGGATGATAAAAAAAAATGGCAGGAATATATATTACTAGTCTCGGACCATGATCTAATTATATATCCATTAAACCATTCAGAAGAAGGGTATTACACAGAAAGAAACAAGATCCACCGACCCATAAATCAATCATAGGAAAATCCGAGAAGCAAATTAATCCAGCATCTGGTATAGAGCATCATTGCGTCAAGGTAGCTAATTCACAAGGCCGATGTAGATCTTGGCACAAATTAGATGAAATGAAAAATGGACAAAAATGCGAAAGGGATCGATGAGGCAAACCTCTCAGTGGCACAGATCTATACCGTACACCCAAAAGAAGGTATCAATAACTTAAAATTGGATCTCAAATGACAAGAAATCGTCAAAAGTTGTGAATCTTGCGAACTATCTGGAATACAGAGATCCATCCATATCTAACAAGGGCTTTCGAATTCCAACAACTAATCGGGATTCAAGAAAATGAACCAGAGAGAAAGAGAATAGGTTATGTTATATTACCTGAGGAAACAGCGATGGCGAGAGCAAAAGAAGCAGAGACGAAAGATCTATGCTCTCTAAAAAGCCGTCCTCCCCGAGCGAAGAATGTGGGATGGGATGGGATGGGACTAGTATTTATTTATTGAGTAATGGTATCGTTGGATTAACGGATAAGGTCACTGTTTAATGAGATTATAGTACTAAATTAGGTTAATAAAATAAATTTAAATAATATTAATTTTATTTATTTATAATGAGATCGAAAAATACAGTTTCCGCTAAATAAATCGGGAAATAAATATTAAATGTAACTGTGATACCATTTATGAAACCTCAAATGACAAAGGTGAATCTCACTTGAACTTATATGATAAAAGGATAGAAAATTATTTGTTTTAGTATTATTGATTGGTGATATTACATTCTTTTGTCACGTAGTATCACCATTATAAGAATATTTTTTCCAGACGATGACTCTCTCTTCTCCATTTTTTTTTTTATTAGTATTATGCGTTATATGACCAGACTCAGGCAATTAAGTAATGTATTACTAGTGTATTATTGTAGGTGGCATCCTGGCAAACGGCTGTTAGTTTTGGTGCTCTGCTTTGTGCTGTGAATGTCGCCAGCACTTCTCTTGCATATATAGGCATATGGCAGCATNGAAAAAAAAAAAAAGAAGAACAAGCGTGCGATAAACCCTTTCAAAATGATCGATCTTTGTTACTTGATCTAGCATATGGCTATGAACAGGGATGATAAAAAAAAATGGCAGGAATATATATTACTAGTCTCGGACCATGATCTAATTATATATCCATTAAACCATTCAGAAGAAGGGTATTACACAGAAAGAAACAAGATCCACCGACCCATAAATCAATCATAGGAAAATCCGAGAAGCAAATTAATCCAGCATCTGGTATAGAGCATCATTGCGTCAAGGTAGCTAATTCACAAGGCCGATGTAGATCTTGGCACAAATTAGATGAAATGAAAAATGGACAAAAATGCGAAAGGGATCGATGAGGCAAACCTCTCAGTGGCACAGATCTATACCGTACACCCAAAAGAAGGTATCAATAACTTAAAATTGGATCTCAAATGACAAGAAATCGTCAAAAGTTGTGAATCTTGCGAACTATCTGGAATACAGAGATCCATCCATATCTAACAAGGGCTTTCGAATTCCAACAACTAATCGGGATTCAAGAAAATGAACCAGAGAGAAAGAGAATAGGTTATGTTATATTACCTGAGGAAACAGCGATGGCGAGAGCAAAAGAAGCAGAGACGAAAGATCTATGCTCTCTAAAAAGCCGTCCTCCCCGAGCGAAGAATGTGGGATGGGATGGGATGGGACTAGTATTTATTTATTGAGTAATGGTATCGTTGGATTAACGGATAAGGTCACTGTTTAATGAGATTATAGTACTAAATTAGGTTAATAAAATAAATTTAAATAATATTAATTTTATTTATTTATAATGAGATCGAAAAATACAGTTTCCGCTAAATAAATCGGGAAATAAATATTAAATGTAACTGTGATACCATTTATGAAACCTCAAATGACAAAGGTGAATCTCACTTGAACTTATATGATAAAAGGATAGAAAATTATTTGTTTTAGTATTATTGATTGGTGATATTACATTCTTTTGTCACGTAGTATCACCATTATAAGAATATTTTTTCCAGACGATGACTCTCTCTTCTCCATTTTTTTTTTTATTAGTATTATGCGTTATATGACCAGACTCAGGCAATTAAGTAATGTATTACTAGTGTATTATTGTAGGTGGCATCCTGGCAAACGGCTGTTAGTTTTGGTGCTCTGCTTTGTGCTGTGAATGTCGCCAGCACTTCTCTTGCATATATAGGCATATGGCAGCATTTTCCCCCCACTCTATCTTAGCTATCAGTCGAAATTCTAATCTTAAAGTTAAAATTTAAAGTCTTTAAATCTATATTAAGACTCGATAGTTAACTGATATATCTAGTTAGACTCATTTCAAAAGAATAACAGATATGATTAAGCGTCTCATAATTTCACCAATAAAAATTTATCGGGTGTGATCTCTGAACGCTAGATGCTCTCTTTTACTCCCATCTCTTAAAAAATAAAAAATAAATTCCCCTCCACCGTCACTGGGGTTTCCCCAACCCCAATTCACGCTTATTGCATTATTATTATTATTATATATCTATCTAATGCACCTATTTTTTTCAATCCTCCTCCTTTTTGACCTGGGATATATCCAAACATTTTTAGTAATTCAATAGTAAAAGATCATCATCACACTAGTTCAGTTGAAATTAGACATATTTGTCTTTTTGTCACTTGATAAAATCAATGTATTCTGAATGTCACACATAAAATGACAAATCTAATTGGCAATGTATTCTCGACCTCTCCCCCAAAAAATGGCAATGCGTTGGTATCAACCAACCATCTAAAACAAATGATTTTTTTTTCTTTCTCTTTTAAGAATAACTGTTTACTTAACCAGGGGTTTGCATTTCCGTCTTCTTTAAGAATAAATTTTTGTTGCCTTTAAAAGATTCTCAATTGAATAATTCAAGCCAAAAGCAATCGTAACTCTCGCTAGGGGCCTGTGAGTAACACGATGTCGTGTTGTTTGCCTTGTGACTCACTCTCCAAGTCTAATACCTGAACTTGATCGACTTAGATTTTCCAAATTCATATACCAAATACATTTTTCTTTCTATTATGTTGTATGTCTCCCTACTAAAACACGAGCGACAAGTCCTAATTCATACTACAATCCTTGCTATTGGTGCCATCGGGCTTCTTAAAGGTTCATAAACTTGGTCCATCCCCAACTCAAGGAAGAGGCAGTTTGCAATTATCACATGGAGCTCAGCAAAATAGACAAGTACAGTACAGGAGTGTTTACAGAAACATTCAGACCCAAAAAGGCACACATTTTGAAACTAGAATGCAATTACGTTTCCATTTCGAGGTCTTACCATAAAACCCAAAAAACCACAATTTCTGATTTCCAGACCAGATACGTACTAGGTCTGGTCGCAGAAATCCTTATTAAAACAGATCTTCAACACAAGTCTATGTTGTGGCAATGGATCATAGTTACCATTATTGCTGAAAGTACATGTACACAAGCAAGCAACTTTCTGCAAGCATAGAATGAGCAAGAAATCACCTGTTTATTCAGATATCTCAACCAAAACACATTGGCTTCGAATTTAGTCCCAACTAAGTGATACCATGCCAAGAACCATGAGACTCGTACAAATTAATCATGTGCCACCAACTAGATTGGAACGGCTGGAAGGGAACACTGTTTGATAACAATGATCCAATTAATTGCTTATTTCTTCATCAAGGTAAAAGTCAGAAAATCCATCTAAAGGGTAAGCTGTAAATCCTTTCGTGTGTGTGTTTGTGTGTTGTTCTTTTCCTTTTCCTTTTTGGTGGGGGGCTTAAGTTGCATGTATGTACTAATTATGTGAAACGGCAGTAGCAATTAGAGCAACTACATTTGAAATTTATTGCAATTAAGTCCAACAAAACAGGAGATTACACGATCAGTCCTTACTTTATTTTTCAACCCACCAGACATTAAAAAAAAGTATCCACCTTAGCTTTGAGTACATATAAAGACCAGGAAGTCTATCATTTTCCAATGTACCTAAGAGAGCAGATGCAAATGCAGAGCACCATGTCACAACTTAAGCAGGTGGCAACACAGAGGACACGTCAGCCTGCCCTCCCATCATCCTCTCAGCCATCTCACCCCGCTCACCTACAAAGTAAAACATTGAAGATTGATTAGGAAAATTTTTTTGGTAATGCAAAACATCTCCTAGGGAGGGCCACATTTGACGTAGCCCCATCACTGCAGAGTAAACTCCGAGTACCTGCAATCACCCACTAATTACAGGTACCAGATTGACTAGGGAGATACCAGCGAGAGTCAAATCTAGGGCATCAGGTGAACCTTTTGTCCCAGATATAACTCTCCGGTGGGCTACCGGTGCAGGTTATTTATTAGGAAATATTACTGATGTGTTTCTCTGTCATACAGATGTACAAAAACATTAGCCAAAATATGTTGCTTAAGCTGAATATGATATTTTACCAGTGCGCACTCTGATTATATCTGTCACAGGCAACACTGCAAGATCAATAGAAATAACGTCAAAAGGTTGCCCAACTTTTGTAAGTGACGTAAATAATATATCTTGCCATTGAATTAAAATACAACAATCAGATAATGGGAGTGGATTTCTACTCTAAACGGAGTCACTCCAATCTTATTTACCATCGTTCACTTGATATACTCATTAATTTCTGTTATTTATTATAATGGCTGCAGTTTCTTGGTTAAGATGCAAAAAGACCGTTGAGAAAAAATGCCACAGGACGAATATTAATATGACATTTTTTCATGTTCATAAGTATATGCGATAGCTCTAAGTTCTCTATCAGGCCAGACTTTACCCCATGGATGAAATCGTATCATTTCATTTTAACTGACCCATAATTTTATAGATCAACATTTCCCAACAATCATCACCAATATCCCTTGACACATTATCAGCACAGTCTATTCCCATTTTTGTAGCTGGACAACACTTTGTTAAGTTGATTAAGAAAGTAACTTTTAGTAACGTTTGGGGAGTTAGAATTGAATTGCAACATCAATGAATCCCAATGACAAATGTGGGGCTTCTTGAAAAACTATAAAATGAACCATAGGTGAAAAAAAGAAATGTGTTAAATATAGTTTTTAGTATTGAAAAATTGCCTTCCCCTATACGCTTCTAGTTGCTAAGGCCATTATCTTCTATTGACTGAAATCAACTTGGAATTTGAAGGGCGACCAGAATTATGCACACCTATGACAAAGCTAAAGAACAAGATTTTTATAGGATGCAAGCCATAGTTAATCATTCTCCAATGCTTTCTTTTTTCCCTTATAATTGTGAATACCACAAAGGTTTTGCTTCAAAGGAAACGGTGATCTTGGACAAACTGGAAACCTTGCCACTGATAGGATTGTGTATTGTAGTGTGAAGTTTCTATATGCTATTGTTAACAACTTAACATACATTTATAAGTTAATGAGACCCAGACAGCCAGTGAAAATCTGAAAAAGCTGTGTCACAATTTTTTTCTATTTCTTACATTTCAAAAGACCAATGCAACTTGCATTTATTATGAGAGCCACCATTACCATCCTAATGCAATAATAATTTTGTTAAGCTGAAAATATGACTAGTGTGTAACAGTATCGTGTCTAGTACTACCTAAAAGCAGACAGCCTTTTGAGAAATATATAACAGAAGGTGAAAAAAAAGCAACAAATCCAAAACTGCAATAATCAATTCCACCCTAAAGCATCACAGAAAATAAAATCAGGGTGATACCAAAAAAGCAAAAGGACAGTCCGGAATCTTACAGAAAATCTTGCCATCACCAATCTCTCCAGTCCTTGCCCCTTCAATTATCTTGTCTATCACTGCTTCCACCTAAGCACAAAGGGAGGGATTAGACAAGTGATACTTCGTAATCAACATAACAAGAATATGTTTATTCCAAGCAGCTGATAGTTTAGACACCATCGTATCTATAAGATAGAAAACAAGAATAAGACAACTACAATTTTAAGTTCATCAAGAACTTGAAGAAAATATTCTTATAGCCTCTAAATTTTCAATACCTGGTCTTTGCTCACCACAATCTCCATCTTAACTTTAGCTAAAAACTTGTCTTCATAAAATTCAGAGCCTATGGAGGGCAGACAACATCAGAATAAATGAGAGTCTTGGAAGCATTTAATTATCCAGATCGCTCACAATAGCAACGTTTAATTATGCAATGCAACATTAAGACAAAATATGAGGTGCACTAGCTCAATTACCTGCTGCGCCCTTCCAAGAAAAGAAGGGGAAAAAACAAAAATGTTGTCATGATATCAGATAAACTCTGGTTTCAATCTCACAAAAACAAGCACTTACCAGCCTGCCTTTCTCTCAAACCACCTTGGGCACCAAAGCCTCGGACATCAGAAACCGTCACACCTCGAATGCCCATTTTCAGCAGTGCCTTTGGATTTCACAGAGAATACAAGAAGTTAGGACCAGAAAGTGGCAGCAGGATTAAAAAATCAATATTTTTATCCTAAATACCTCTTTCCTGTTCCTTTGTACTAGATGTACAAAGTGTTCAGACATCACAGAGCATTCAGTGATATTTTGAGAAAGTAAGGACAAGTGGCATAAAGGTGCATATGGGGCCATTGCCTAGTGCAGAGGTAAATGCTCAGGCCAACAATCATAAGGTTGTGGGTTCGAATGTGAGTGCAACCACTCTGCGTAAAATGATGTCAAAGCTTATACTTGTAGTTGTACTTAATTCACCCCACCTAGTAACTTCCATTCCTGAGGATCAAACTCTCTCCTGTGTTTTTTTCAATGTCAGGTTCACAATCGTTGTCTATTTTGCGAAATTTTCACATGGGAGTATAAGATTATTGTGAAAACAAAAAACAGAGAAATATGCAAAGATTTTAGACTGAACAGTTAGGAATTTTTTTACTGATTTGGGCATTCATTTGTTGATAAGAGATATGATTAAAATCTGAACAATAGATTTTGCACTTTTAATTTCTTTAATTGTATCTATTTCCAAATAAACTACAATGTAATTCTTCCGATTTAGGGAAGAAAATCCAAGGAAAATCGATACTTGCCTCATGAATAGTTATCCAAATAACCAATGTGCTACACGTCATTCTTGAAAGGCAAAGTGGTGACAACAAAAGGTGTCCTCGTGTCCAATATCCAAGACATAGCCAAATTTAGTGACCAGAGTAGGTAAAGGTATGGCATATATGGAGTTGAATGAATCAGTATCTTGTGCATGACGACAATTTAAAGATCGACAAACTAACAATACAGAATCATGAATGATTGTGGTTATAACAAGTCGTGTTGAGTGTTTGTCTTTGTCCCGTTGGCACCATTTGGAACAATATACGCGGGTTTGTGACGTTTCCATATCCAAAATGGTCCAACTAGTGTCAATGCATAAAAGCTCACATGGTATGTGCAATTGATACCACCAATACTTTGAAATCCTACTTCCCTTTTTATTTGACATTATTATATTTACACTAATTATGATCATAATGTTGACATATACATAAAAACCAGACCTACCTCCTAAAGAGTCGAGCTAGATGGTATATAGAGAAGCATGGCACTAAATATTGGTAGTAGTGATAATATAGCTTATAAAACGTTGAATGCTAAAAGCATAAGATCCTAAAATTTCAAGAAATTATGTGGAGAACTGTCTTTATAATGTGTTCACCAAGAATGCCGTTATAACATGTGTTGGTGACATTAATGGTACTAATGTTGTTTAGACTGGTGTGGAAGGGTTTGGGGACATAATGGCTATTCCCATGTCAATACAACATACGCTCATATACATGTTATAAATTTGCTTCATCCATTCTATATTTCTCCAGACTTGTTCAATGCTGTTATGCATGACACCTTGATCCCAGCAACTCAACCCTTACAATGATATCGATCCGGACAATTCTGATACTCAGCCATATTCCTTCCAGATACTTTGTCGTTTTCGCACCATTTGGCACTTATGTGGCTTGAACCCTTCCATAAACATATTCTGTGTCAGGTTCCTAATAAATTGAATACCTCGTCAGCATGTGTTAATTTAATTTTTGGGAAATTTAAATATTGTGGAAGGCGCTTGATTCCAGGGACATTCTTTATGCTCCCAGTATGTCCACAATAACTGGTATCGAAACTCATGGCCTCTTCCCAATGCATCAAGTTTACAACATCCTCTGGACATATGATATGGTGGCTATCACAGAACGAAATCGTCCAAAAAGTGTCAAAAACCACAAATATGATCGCCAGTGAGTCTTATATGGATAATCTTCTCTGTTAAATGTGTAAAAAGTTTGGAATTATTTTTCATGGAAATGCATTTAAGAATTAAGCTAGAAACTCCCGGCAATTTATGAACTTTCATTTTGCTAAGTACTACAAATATTTTAATACAGATCTGTGCGAAATTAGATACATATTGCTAAAAATTACTTTTGCACGAATCAAGTTGACAATATAACAGATCAAAAATTAAAAAATTGGCAAATTGTAGGTGAGAAATTAAAGGCCATTTCGAGAAAATGTTGCTGAAGCTTTCTATTAGGGTTTAAACAGATGTTAATAGTGTGCAATTGCAATGATTACACCTTTAGAGTTCCTTTTCGTTTTGCAACAACAGATTACATGCATGAAGCCATATCGAATACAATAAATCTACGTGAAATTTGATTTCAAAATGATAGAGCAAATAATTCAGCCATTCTTACCGAAGACACCAGTGGGATCCGCCAGGGCCTATCTCGTTCCAATATAAGCAGTAGAACATGAGAAACAACAAAATAATTCAAAACAAAAGCTCAGTGGTTTAGTTCTTACATAAACTGAAACAATTGTATGAGATAGAAAGGAAAAATAAAATGCCAAAAACTAGCTAAAAAAGAGAGAGAGAAAAAAAGGAATAAAATACAAGAAGATTAACTAAGAAATGTACAAAGCCATAAATACATATCGCAGCACCTTAGAATGGCTTCCACTTTGTAAAATTTCGCATCTGGAATGTAATCTGCATGCAACAAAATAAAAAACAACAATAGAATTTGAGATACCCCAGCTAAATTTGTTTTGGAAGGCAATTCAAAATCGATTGATAAATACTGGAAAGAATGAGAGCAAAATGCTTGTTGATTACCTGGAGAGCTCTGGGCACTGATTATAGGAAGAAGAGACGCATTTTTTGCGCGTTTGACAGTCACACTCAGCTGAGACGGAGAGAAATGGGAGTCATTGAACTTGGGAGTGATTGAAGTGGGGCGAATGGGAGGGAATTCTTTGAGGCCTGAGTAGAGGGGAGTAAGGAAACCTGGTTTCGCCATTGAAGAAGCCATGGGAGTTTAGGTTTTGAGTGAGAAGTTGAGAGGTGAAGCTGCAGCAGTGAACTTCGTTGTTAACGCTGTGCGTTTAAATAGGAGCAGCGCGTGTCACGACGCATCGCGCATGAACGACGCTTGTAGTGGGGAGACGAAGAAAGCCCTCTCTCTCATTTGGATGGATGCTTTGGATCTTCTTCATTCACACACACTATTTTAGTTTTTTCTTTTTTTAATTTTAATTGTTTTACTGATACTTTGTTTTTCTGGGTGAGTGCCTTTAAATAGATTAAGTGCAATTTTCTTTCAATTTTTCCTTACCTGCAATGTGTAATTACTAATTAGAGTTGTTTAATTATTGCGACTACAGCTACAATAATGAAAATATCTTGACTTCTCATCCTTCCGGTCTTTCTCTTTTCCTACGTAGGGTCCAACTTCAACTTCGACAGAGTCGAAAAGCATGTGTCCCACCTTTGATACCAATTTTAGCCGGACTGAATTTTTTCTTTCGACTCTAACTTCAAAATTGAAACTACTATAACTCTCCTTGTTGGAGCAGGCAGAATAGATTTTTGGAGTTGGGCATTATTTGGACTATTTTCTATAGAGCTTTTTCATATATATATTTTTTAACAGATAGAGAGGGGGAGAGTTTTATGAGGGCTAAGCATAGAAATGTGAGAGAAGAAGATTGAGAGTGAGATCCGCACAATCCACGTGAATATTAGATCTGAAAAATCAGAAAAAACAAAAATAAGGATATAGGGTTCACACAACATGGATAATTCAAGTAAAAAGTTTAATTTGATACAAAACATTCAAATGGAGAAATTCATAGTTAAAAGAAAATAAACTCAAATTTAAATAAGGACAAATCTAAATCTAAAGCTAAAGTAAAGTAAAATATAATTATTAAATCTTTAAAGGAAAATGAAATTTAATCATTAATGATTTAAATAAGGGTTTAAATTTTTCTTAATTTAAGTAAAAATTTGAATCTTCCTTAATTTGACATAAATTTTAGTACAACATTAAAAAAAAAAATTTCGGATTTTTCAACCTAAATTAAAATTTAATTTTTTTTAAAAAAAAATAAGGACTAATATTGCTTTCATGGTTGTTTGAAATAGACCGTTGTTTATTTTACAAAAAAAAAAATCAATTAATAAGTTCAGATAAGCTTTTTTGGTCCCCCTAACTCGTCCAACTTGACTTAGTAATCTGGCCAACCAGCCCAACCAAGGCTCAATCACATGAGGGTTGCCTATGTTTCAACTTTTACATTACCCGCCAATTGGCATTGATATTTGATAAGACAGACGAGCTCAAGATTGTTGAATTAGAAACTAACGTGATTGATCGATTTCATTTCCATAACAAATCCAACTGCTATATTGCTAAGTCAGAATGTAACAGTCGACAACTGAAAGAAGCTTCGATAGACCTTGACATCATAATTGGCAAAAGATAAGCAACTGCTTCATGGAATCTTTGATAAGCGTGGGGTCATATTGAACAACACAATGAACAAAAAATCACAAGTTTCCCAAATTGGAGAACCACTAGATAGCAAAACACCGGCGCAGTTAAGGCCAACTCTGAAACAACCAGAGTGTACATATTTAATTTAGCAAGCTACAACTAAATTTACCAGCTGATAGAACTAGCTTCTCTGCTTTTACAACTGCATCCAAGGGAAGAGGACTGAAACTGTGAGATGGCCCATAGAAATGGGGAAACACATTGGAGTTATCCACAGCTTCATAAACCAATCCATCCCCGAGCTGCAACAAAGTGCATGCCATCATGACATTAGAATAGGTGTCATACAAGGTTTTTGCAACACATTTAGAGTATGCAAGAATGATGTCCAATTAATCAAAGTGTATTTCCACTTCATACTTGGACATTGGTACATTATCAACAGTAGCAAACAATGGATCAAATATACCCATATCTTGTCTCAGGTCATAGCGGGTAACTTCTAGTGATTACCATGCTCTGATGAAGAAAGATGGCTTCGTAATTTATTCCATTACCTTTTTAGCATCAAATTTGAGCAAGTAGAGATCGCTCTTAGTGTTCAGGAAAAAATTTTGCAAAGTTGACTCTACCTGCAAAATAAGTGCTATTCATGTTAGCTTCAGGCCTCAAAGGAAAGAAAGAAATCCCATGCAATCCTAAGCACTGTCAGTAAGACCTCTTAAGAAGGGACATTGGAAACCAATCGTGCATTACATAGGTGGAATGAAATCAATCATAAATATTCCAAAAGGAAATATCTGAGAGTACCTCANTCGTCCAACTTGACTTAGTAATCTGGCCAACCAGCCCAACCAAGGCTCAATCACATGAGGGTTGCCTATGTTTCAACTTTTACATTACCCGCCAATTGGCATTGATATTTGATAAGACAGACGAGCTCAAGATTGTTGAATTAGAAACTAACGTGATTGATCGATTTCATTTCCATAACAAATCCAACTGCTATATTGCTAAGTCAGAATGTAACAGTCGACAACTGAAAGAAGCTTCGATAGACCTTGACATCATAATTGGCAAAAGATAAGCAACTGCTTCATGGAATCTTTGATAAGCGTGGGGTCATATTGAACAACACAATGAACAAAAAATCACAAGTTTCCCAAATTGGAGAACCACTAGATAGCAAAACACCGGCGCAGTTAAGGCCAACTCTGAAACAACCAGAGTGTACATATTTAATTTAGCAAGCTACAACTAAATTTACCAGCTGATAGAACTAGCTTCTCTGCTTTTACAACTGCATCCAAGGGAAGAGGACTGAAACTGTGAGATGGCCCATAGAAATGGGGAAACACATTGGAGTTATCCACAGCTTCATAAACCAATCCATCCCCGAGCTGCAACAAAGTGCATGCCATCATGACATTAGAATAGGTGTCATACAAGGTTTTTGCAACACATTTAGAGTATGCAAGAATGATGTCCAATTAATCAAAGTGTATTTCCACTTCATACTTGGACATTGGTACATTATCAACAGTAGCAAACAATGGATCAAATATACCCATATCTTGTCTCAGGTCATAGCGGGTAACTTCTAGTGATTACCATGCTCTGATGAAGAAAGATGGCTTCGTAATTTATTCCATTACCTTTTTAGCATCAAATTTGAGCAAGTAGAGATCGCTCTTAGTGTTCAGGAAAAAATTTTGCAAAGTTGACTCTACCTGCAAAATAAGTGCTATTCATGTTAGCTTCAGGCCTCAAAGGAAAGAAAGAAATCCCATGCAATCCTAAGCACTGTCAGTAAGACCTCTTAAGAAGGGACATTGGAAACCAATCGTGCATTACATAGGTGGAATGAAATCAATCATAAATATTCCAAAAGGAAATATCTGAGAGTACCTCAATAGTCTTCCTATCCAATTCTGCCTGTCAATCATCAATATCGAGCAAGAAAAACCACACTCACAGTGCAAAACCCCAATGAAGGAGGTTTTGACTATGACTGCACTTGTTGGTTGGTAAATTAGCATGGACATTTATATAAAATTAGATTTATGAGCATTGTACATTCTCATAGTTATTAGTTGGGCCGGTTGTGTATGCCACCACCACAGTACCTGTGAATGAAAAGACTTCCTTCCATATAATATCCAACAATTCACTTTTTCGAACATGAATATATGAAATCAGACACATTATCCTGCTGTTTCTCATCAGAAATTCCTTTTTTTCTCCTCCTCAGCTTTTATTTTGAGGCTGGCCAAGCCCAAGTAATAAAATTTCAGTGGACAGCTGTTGCTATGTTTACTATTTTTTCATAATTTTTTTGGATCTACTCCAATCCACTTTCCTTCATTTTACTCCTATAACTCACTCACAGTGGATTTGAGGAGCGTGAATTAATGGTGATCCAACATCGGGGGGAATTGAGAAATCTGTTCGGTAAAGTACGATCAAAATACGAATGTAGAGAGATAAATCAGATCCAAATCTGTAATTCATATTTTATTATGTTAGAGGTATGATGTGCGATTACTGATTTACTCAAAATAGTGTGAATTATGCATAGTAACAAAAAAATCAGTAGGTTCTATCTTCTATGGAGCATAGTTATGTTCATTTTGATCTGGTCAGGCAAATAATGGTATATAATTATACAGATTGATTGAGATTAACAGGCATCATAAATTCTTAATATTGAACAGGGGATTCAGCTATCAATTCCAAAATAAAAAAACACAGTTGAATTATGGGACAAAGAGAGAAGGACTAAGCAGTGATGGGAGGTAGAAGAGAGAGACGGGGTAGTAACTAGTAAGAGAGAAAACCTGATGGAGCTTGCTGAGATGGATACAACCAGTGGACTTGTCAAGATCTCCACCGAAAGTAGTGCCAGTTTTCTGAAGCGCCTCCCACTCTTCGACAGTGCTGATTCTATACACGTACTCTTCTTCACGTTCATTCACTCCTCCTTCCATTGCTGCCATCGTTCTGCGTCGATCGCTACTCTTTTGTCTTGTAGCACCCCCTTGCTCGACGCCCGGTCCCGGAGGACACGACATATCATATACCTATTACCCATTACTCACCACATGGCTTTGGGCCTTACCGAATCAGCTCATGTACAAATTCGTTAAACCATGAGCCCAAAAGAAGACCATTATCTTATCTTTTTTTTTTTTTTGAAGCTCTTGTATAATTTTGGGTAAAATATATTTAAATATATATGTATTTTCATATGTGTGTTTATGACAAATAAAAAAAACCTTTCAGACCATAAAAAATTAATTTTATTCAAAAAAAATTCAATAACATGGCAGAAAGGTCTTTAGTGGTATTGATTATAAAAAATATATATATATTAGAATAAAGTAATTTTACATCAGTTCAATTTTTAGATAAATTATATTTTGATCCTCTCAACTATAATTTTTTTTAATATTATCCTTTAACTGTCATTATTTTTATATTTAATCATTGTGTGATTAGTTTTACCTGTTGTTAATTTTATAAAAAAATATTTTATTTTACATCCTAACTATGTGATTTTTTTCATTATGATCTGAAACATTGACAATTTTCTTTCAAAAAAAAAAAAAATAACCTGTATTTATATTTAGTGTAAAATAATTTAAGTAATTGAAAAAATAATATAAAATTTTAATATTTGAGGGACAAAGTAAAATAATAGACCTCTCGCGTTGTCAGATAAAAGATCCAAGTTTGGAAGCATGGTAACTTGCAGGACGCATTATGAAACCATGATTGCGGTCCAGGCTGAATCCGTGGAGCGGAGAGGATGAAGGAAGAACGGTTTACTCTGAATGTTAATTGCCAGAGAACGGTTTCAATTGAGGAATAGTAGTAAGAATCCTCCAGTCCAAAACTTTTAACTCACACTTTCTTTCCTTTCCCCGACCCTCACAGTTACTGACTATGGTAATGGCAGATGCTCTTAATTTTGCTCCTTGCGAGTTTTGGAACCAAACCATCATCTCATGCACTATACCGGATTTTGGGCTCCTATATTTTCAAAGAGGGTATTGTGAGTGTTTTCTTTCCATCAAGTAATTTGCTTGCCTGTTTCTTTTCTTTTTCCCCTTTCTCAAGCTGCCTGCTAGTTATATGTTTGTTTTCTTTCTCATAGGTCGAACTACGGATACTATCTGTTTGATGTTCTACGTTGTGTATAATTCTTTGTTATTAATTTCAAATTTGGAGATTCTTTTGGTTCCCAGGGGGCTCATGTTCTTGACTATTTATTTGATTGTACCTTGTAGTCTCTCAATTTTATGTCAAAAAGACTTTAAAATTGTGAATATTGCTTTAGCTTTAGCTTTTCTTTTTTTTTTTTCTTTTCTTTTCTTTTGATGGAATAACACATGAATTTGACTAAAGAAAGCCGAATTTTAAATTTAAGGCTTTCTTCAATTGAGTTGAGTTGAGTATCTAATTTCCAATTGGGTCGGGGATGATTACTTAAAAGAATTGTAGTTTACACAATCAACATCAAACTAAACAATCTGGCTGGTGCACTTCATCAGCTAACTTTTCCCATTTTCACCTGCACATTATTGATCTCCTATTTTAAGGAGTTCTCACTTCAATTTTCGTTTGTTGCTATGGTAGTTTATGAGTCAATTGGAAGATAATACATTATACCTGCCTAATGTGCTTGGCCTTCCTGTGACATTCTTCCAAAAATTATGATAAGGAAAAATTTCATGTTACACAAAAGCATGTCCATTTGCTTTTTCTGTGAAACTTTGCTACAAGAAGCAAAACTGCTACTGATTCTGAACACTGTGTGTGCCTTGGCAGAACTATTTAGTGGAGGATTAAGAGCTCAGCCAATCCAACATGAAGGATGTCCATACTCCATACCTATTTTCTGCAATGATATGCACAATTTAAAAAACTGATATGTTGCCAAAGCTGCATGGATAGACTGTCGTTATGTGGTAAGCTTTCAATGTCACATCAATATCGCTAATCCTTGTATGGGGAACCTTAATTTGAGACAAAGTCAATCAACCGATGCCACATCTATCAAGATCCAGAAAGATCCTACTTGTTATTTTTGAAAGAATTGTGATGCATTCGTCCTAGATATGGGTTTGTTTTGTGATTTTGTATGGCCTCGTGGCTCCTAGTAAGGTAGTTCTGAAGTAAAATAACGCAATTGCAGTAAATGGTGATAATCAATGTTGAAATATTTCTCATTTGTCATCATTACTCTCAAAAGATACAAATTAATATTATGTGCATGTAGGCTTTGTTTCTCCTATTGTCCTTATTGCTTTCTTGCTGTTATATAAATAGTGATCTCACTGAATAGAATCAAATTAAAGCAGGATAACCATGGATGTGAAGGAAAGAGCCTCTCCTCTTCCTTGCTTCACATTTCATATATTTCTTTATCCTTCCTTCCCCCTGTTTGTTCATTCCCAGTGTAATAGAAATCCAGTCATTCAATTTTGGGGACTCCAACTTTGGCACTGGAGGTTATGCTGTTGCACATGGACTTAACTTTGGACCTCCAGAAGGGTGTAATTTCTTCCATCACTCAGAAGGACGATGGTGTGATGGTCGACTAGAAATTGATTACTTTTGTAAGTTTATTAGCCAAATATTGATTTATTCCCTCCCACGTTTAACAGGTTTCTAAGGTATGAGGATTGTAAAGTTGCACACAAAGTGTGTCGAAGCTATAATGTCTCGGCATCCACTGCACCAATATTTTTCGCTACGTCAATTAAAGTTATGGTTATGGCCTATATACATCACCTTGGAATATGTTTGTGCAAAGTATGGGTTGACAATTCTCGGATATGATATTTAGAAATCGTCTAAACCATTCAACAAGTCATTCTCACTATGGTCAATGTTTATGTATTGTCATGGTAGCACATAATATTATTACTGATGTGCATGGGCATATACTATCTGTTTCCTGTTTGTTTTAGGTGTTAGCTTTTGATTGTTCTTGAGTGAATTATGATGTTTACTGAAACTAACACCAGAATTTTAGAGGATCCTGTAAATAAGTGATAGTGGTGGGATCTAAGTTTATTTGTTTTACGAACTAGTCCCCAGGAACATGGTATAGCCAATAGATTGGTTGAAGCATGTATATACATGGACCTATTCATGCAAAATCCAGTGCAGTTGAGTTTGAATTCCTATCCCAACTTTCCCCCCACCATTCTTATGTTTACTTCTTTCAGGACCTTTCAGGCAATCCAGTAAATGCTGGGTCCATGCCCTTAATATTAATGCCTTGGTAATGGCTACTTTGTTGTAGGGTCAGCTACCCTATTTACTTCCCTTGGTCTCTTTTGAGAGATAGATTCCACGTGCATTGTCATTCCAATGATCTAGAGATACATGTTTTCTTTTTTGTGATCTGAACTGAATAACCTGAAAATTTTGTAAATTCTTCAATACAAAATTCCAAGGGAAAGGTAGCATAAATGTTGACGAAATGAACATTTTCAGTTGTTCCTCTGTGATCTCATGATAATTTTTCTGTTTCTTCACAGGCGAAAGTTTAAATACCAATTATTTGACTCCTTATCTGGAATCTTTGGGACCAAACTTCACAAACGGGGCTAATTTTGCAATAAGTGGTTCATATACTCTTCCTAGATCTGTTCTATTTAGTTTGGATGTTCAAATTCTTCAGTTCAGAAGATTCCACAATCCAAAGGTATGATTTTGAGAGATATTGAAGAAACTTTCTTCAGGAAACTTTAACTTATCCAAAGTTGAAATAAAAATAAAATATTTGGTTGGAGATGATGAGGACTTCAGAAATGCCCTGTACACGATTGACATCAGTCAAAACGATCTGTCTGTAGCATTTGGGCATCTTTCCTATGTGCAAGTTACAGAAAAAGTGCCTTCCTTTATCTCTGAAATTGAAGATGCTATCCGGGTGAGTGTTCACTTAAAGGAAATTTCCCCACTGATCATTCAAGTAGTCATGTACTTTTTATTTTTCTTCATTTCAAATGTAGAGTCTCTATCAACAAGGCGTGAAAAATTTCTGGGTTTACAATACTGGTCCATTGGGTTGTTTGCCTCAAAAATTTGCCACAAGTAGCAAAAATGTAAGTGGTTTGAATCCGTATGGATGCCTTCATCGTCTTAATGAAGGTGCAAGAGTATTCAATGAAAAACTAAGAGCACTATGTGAAGGACTGAGATCTGCAATGAAGAATGCTACTATTGCGTACATGGATGTTTATGCCATTAAGTATGACCTCATTGCCAATTCCGCTATATATGGTGAGTTTTGAAAAAATTATTATTTTTACTTTAAGAAATGCTACACAACACTGGTAGTAATGCCATAAAGAGTTTTTTTGAACTATTAGTCTCCTTTCATTTAAAAAAGAAAGGACCATTAGTTTCATGCTATATATAAAAATGTTATGCCACCTCATTCTATATTAAAATTCTTGTCAATATTCTGTTTGTGAAGTGTTTTCTTTTGCAATAAAAAGAAGAACTTGAAGCAAATATGTAGTACCACGAAAACATTAAGCAAAAGTAGAGAAGATTAACACACAGCATTACTGGTTTTTGGAGTGAGAGACTGCATTGCTAGACCATAATGATCATAGGAGGGTTTGGACATAAAGATTGTTGGCACAGAATTTCCAGCCATTGATCTAACAATTTGTAAATGAGTTCCAATTTATTTTAATGCTCTTTTTCATATCTCTGAACTTTTTAGATGTACAAAGTTTCCTATGGACCTAGTGTTAACAAGGTAACAATCAATTGAGTTTACATTGAGTCTAAGATATGATTGGTTCAAAAAAAAGTCAAGATACTGAGATGTGTGCCTACAAATGCTGTTATGTTATCCCTATTGATTAATGGTTTCATTGACAGGTTTTGAGAATCCTTTAATGGCATGTTGTGGCCATGGTGGGCTGCCATATAACTACAATCCCAACATTAAATGTGGCCAATTTGGTTACGAAGTCTGCGAAAGCCTCTCGATACATTAGCTGGGATGGAGTTCACTATACAGAGGCTGCCAATGCATTTGTTGCCTCCAAAATACTCTCTGCAAATTACTCTACACCTCCAATTAAGTTTGAATACTTTTTGTAATACCTAATCTTTTTGTTGATTTTTCTTCTGGTAAATTACACTCAGACAAAGTAGACATGTGAATGAAGGGAACCGCTTGCTTATTTTATTGTCATTCTATATTTGGCAAGGCAATTTTTTTACTCCAAAATTAGAGGTTGGAGGGTCAAAATGTGATTGAAATCAATGGCGGAAAGCTTTATGGTTGGTAGTGTTTGTGAATTTCCTGATTGGCAGTTCTACTTACAAGGTTAAGACCAAATCATGGTATGGAATAATAGCCTGCTTCTTCTTGGTGATCTTTTCATTATATGTTGCTATGAGACTGTTTTGATAGTTGGATCTATAACTTTTGTTAGGGGTAGAAATTGCGTATTCGGATCTCATTTCTGAACATCAAAAATTCTGGCTGGCCTGCACCTTTTCCTAAGGCAATACAGTAGTCTTTACCTCCATCCCACATCGGGTAGGAGTCGTCTCCCTCCTGTCATATAAGTGAACACTTCCTATGGAGGGGGTACCCACTAGACACCTGATCAGGTCGCTAGTGGGTACCTCCTCTATAGTAAGTGTTCACTTATATGACAGGGGGGAGACGACTCTTACCCGATGTGGGATGGAGGTAAAAACTACCCTATTTTACAAAAGGACGCCTTTTTTGTAAAAGGTAGAAATCGCTACGGATCTCATCCCTCCACTTGAAGGATTCAGGCTGACCTGGCGGCACCGAGCCCCAGTAGCCTTTACCTCTCTTCTCCAATAGAACCATTTCCTAAGGCAATCCCACATTGGAAGAGAGTCGTCTTCCCCCCTCGCATATAAGCCCTTGCACTCAAAAGAGGAGGTACCCTCTTACAATCTCACATTGGAAGAGAGTCGTCTTCCCCCCTTGCATATAAGCCCTTGCACTCAAAGGAGGAGGTACCATCTTTTTGTAAGGGGTAGAAATCGCTACGGATCTCATCCCTCTACTTGAAGGATAAGGGGTAGAAATCGCTACGGATCTCATCCCTCTACTTGAAGGATTCCGGCTGACCTGGGGGTTTGGTGTTCAGGGATGAGATCCAAACGCGCGATTTCTACCCCTAACATAAGAGACGCCTTTTTGTAAGAGGTAGAAATCATTACGGATCTCATCCCTCCACTTGAAGGATTCCGGCTGACCTGGCGGCACCGAGTCCCAGTAACTTTTACCTCTCTTCGTCAATAGGACCCTTTCCTAAGGCAATCCTACATAGGAAGAGAGTCGTCTTCCCCCCTCGCATATAAGTCCTTGCACTCAAAGGAGGAGGTACCCACTAGGCACCTGATCAGGTCACTAGTGGGTACCTCCTCCTTTGAGTGCAAGAGCTTATATGAGAGGGAAGACGACGATTCTTCCGATGTGGGATTGCCTTAGGAAAAGGTCTTATTGGTGAAGAGAGGTAAAGGCTACTGGGGTTCGGTGCCGCCAGGTCAGCAGGAATCCTTCAAGTAGAGGGATGAGATTCGTAGCGATTTCTACCCTTTACACCTTCCATATGAAAAAAAGAAGAGAAGAAATCAGCAACTATGGAAGAACTGTAACTGTGAACTGCCATGTGGAGTTGAATTTGCAAGGAGACGATTTCGTGAATGAGGGGACCTGGACGCACATGGTGATATGGTTCATCTTGCATGTGGTGCTGATTAGATAAGTTTGACTTCTATAGTTACATTCTAGCATAATAGTATGCACGTCTATAAAAAAAAAAAGGAAGGCAGATCTACTGATAGTAAAATAGTGCAAGTTGACTTAATTAAATATTTGAGCCGGTGCCTACTGTTACTATATTGTGGATAAATCGATACATGACTCTAGAAGGGAGGAACACAAGGGAGGAACACAATATGAGTCATGGAAGATTTTCTTACAGACTCATATTGCTTGTATGGATATGGGTTTTTTTTGGTAGTTTCTTTCCTTCAAAATCCTACCATGGGAGACCGCTTCTCATCAACTTTGGCGATTCCAACTCTGATACTGGAGGAATACTAGCTGGCACAGGACTTCCCATTGGCCTTCCTCATGGCATCACATATTTCCACAGAGGCACAGGCCGTTTGGGTGATGGCCGGCTTGTGATCGACTTCTTCTGTGAGTCAATCTTCTGTCCACCTTATTTTATTAATCTTCAAGTCCCTCAGATTGGTTCCATGAAATCCCCAGCTACAATTCCTTTTCTACCTTTTTTCGCTGCCCTGAGATTCAATATTATAAATATATCAAAACAGAATTACATCATTAGGAAATAAAGTAAAGCATAAGGCACACAGACCACAAAACTAGATGTAGAAACATAACATCTTAGTTAGAATTGTCTGGGTCCTCCGGATGATGGTTAAGGATGACTGCCGTCCCGTTTGCTGTGGTGCATTTTCTAGTGGCGGGGAACCTCTGAACTTGACCCAACAGACACATTGACCTACTTCATGTGCAGCACCATTAAACCTTCTTGGCACTTTGGAATTCTTCAATATTTTCAGAAGATTAGCAACTGTTTCCCAATGTCATTAATCAAGGGAGCAAGCTTCCGAGGACGGGTGGAAGAGGAATTAACATATGAAATCATAGTTCGAGTTGCCTGTCAAATGACCTATGGTTGAATCGTTTTCAGCAACTTTCAATATTGCCATCTTCAATGCTATAGCTCCAGAAGACCCTGGGTCATTACAGGGTTATACTAAGATCCACGTTCCTATGACAATCCCCGTAGGAATATGAATACCTAACTGCCATATAAAAAAAAATGTCAATGTCTGCATATGTGGTTTATCCTAAAGAGAGGTAGTGGAAGCAAAATCAAGCTTCTTTACCACTCGCCGTTTGCTACCATATTAAAAAAGTTGCACAAATGCACAAGCAATTTCATTTGCATTTGCAAGAACAGCGATTCTAGTCAAAATCAAGAAATCACGCCCAATGAACTTATAATAAGTAGATTATGATTAGACACAGGAGTTGTTTGCCCAAGAGTTAACTCCTGATGCAAACTTTACACTCTGGGCGGCAATTTTATGGAGATAACATGGTTTATCAGGAATGAAGTAGTGATAGAGAAACCACCAGGGGCCAGTCTGGGTGGATTTGTGTGGCCTCCAAAAGGCCCACGCTTTTCCCCTCATTATGGGATTGAATCCCCCCCAGAATCACAAAGAAAAATAAATTTATTCAGGACGAGCGATGTACTCCTCTTGAACTCCCGAAACTGTTCTTAGACTTATATTTTGGTTATTGAGTTTGTCTCACTCCTGATGTACCATTCTCCTGCAGGTGAATACCTGAACTTGACTTTTTTGAGTCCATATTTGGACTCGTTGGCACCAAATTTTAGCAGCGGAGTCAATTTTGCTGTAAGTGGAGCAACCACACTACCTCAATTCGTCCCTTTTGCACTAGATGTTCAAGTACGCCAATTCATTCGCTTCAAAAATCGTTCGCTTGAACTGTTATCACAGGGTTAGTTCAGAGCATCCTTTTGCATGTCAAACACTGTTCTGTTTGAGACATCAAAGATTTAATGTAGCAGAGAATCATATTCATAGGTGCATCATGCAGCATTATAATAGTAATTAGTTCTTGCTTTCAAACAGGTCCAGGGGACTTCATTGGTGAAGATGGGTTTCGTAATGCGCTTTACATGGTCGATATCGGAGAGAATGATCTTCTACTTGCCTTGTATGCATCAAATCTTACCTATGCGCCTGTGGTGGCAAAAATCCCTTCTTTTCTTGCAGAAATTAAATTAGCCATTCAAGTGAGTATACGGTTACTCTGCTTTATTATCTAAATCTCTCTCAAAATCTTGGGTTCCTCATTAATCTGTGTCATAGAAATTTGTTGTTTGAACCAAATGTAGAATATACATCAATATGGTGGCAGAAAGTTCTGGATACACAACACCGGGCCACTGGGTTGTGCACCTAAAGAACTTGCATTACATCCCCATAACAATACGGATCTGGATAAAATAGGATGTCTCCGCGTGCACAATGATGTCGCAAAAGCTTTCAATAGAGGACTGCGTGCAATCTGTAAAGAAATTAGATCAGAGTTGAAAGATGCCACCATTGTCTATGTGGATATGTACAGCGTCAAGTACAATCTCTTTGCCAAGTACAAAACATATGGTAAACTTACAAATATATATATGGTCTTGCAGAATCTTCTTTAAAAGCAATGTAGAATGGATGATATTGTTGGTTGGTTTTTCACTATGAAACACAGGTTTTGAAGAACCATTGATGGCTTGTTGTGGATATGGGGGGCCTCCAAACAATTACAATGTAAAAGCAACGTGTGGACAACCTGGTTATAGCATCTGCAACAATGTATCAAGGGCCATAGTCTGGGATGGAGTTCACTACACTGACGCTGCGAATCGGGTGGTTGCAACCACTATCCTTTCTACGCATTACTCTACACCACCAGTAAAGCTTGACCAATTTTGGCCTGCTTGATCTCCAATTGTGTTGTACTGTTGTTTCCTTGCGGACCAGATAAAAAAAAAAAAAAACACAATAATATGGAGGTCCGTATACACACATTTGTGCGTAGCTTCCTTGCCTGATGGACGATGTTCCCTCAATTTAGTGAATTTAATGCACATAGCGCCCCTTGAACATAAATGGGCTTGGGTCAATCCATCTACCAACTCTCTCTCTCCCCCCTTTGTAATTAAGCTTATGAATATGAATATCTGACAGGTTTGTGTTGTGTGGGTGTGGATGGGGCGATTGTAGTGGGTCCTAACCATTGGGTCACTCACTTGGGAGTTTCATGGGTTGCTTTCGGATCGGTTGGTTTCTTACCTGACATAGATCTCCACTTGACTATATGCCGGCCAGTTGCTAAAAATACAACCCATAGAATACTGCCATGGGTCAGTTGAGCAAGGTGAAAAACCCGGTCCATGGCCACCTCCACCCTTATGCGACACAATAGAATACTATTTACACGGAAAATAATTAAATATTATAAAATTTAAATAAAAACCAATCACCATTCATTATCTAACTAAACAAATCTCCAAAAACAAAATTCAACTATTAAGGGTACATTCAAAACCTTAAAACAAACCAAACATCCTATCCAACTAAAATAATGCTAATAACATTCAACCATTAAAAATTGGATCCACATCCTGATCCGTCTCAAAACTCCAGTTCAACGTGTTCACCTATAGTGATGTCCTTATCTATAACAAATTTGATAATTATAAGGAAGGGGTGAGCTAACAATCCCACTAAGGAAACTTTCCTAAATTTAGACAACGTTTAAAAAATTGATTAAAACGCGTAAGTCTCGATTTTAACAAAATAACATATATAACTTTCGAAAATAAAACATTTAACGTTGTAACGATCTCAGGTTTATGATTCTATAAACTATAAATATGGAACAAAGTAGAATCATTCAGCAAAATTAGCTTTTAACAAAAATATATCTTAAGTAATTAGATTGACTAACATAAATCTACATATCGAATATATTTGGTTCACAAAACTCCACCTTCTCAATAATATCCCGCAAAGCTACAAAGTTTCAAGAAGCGCATGTACTAATGCAGTAATATTGATGAAATCTTCATAGGAAATAATATACTAACTTTCAGTCTCAGTTTTCGTAAACAAATAGTAGTTTGACATTCCCTCAAGGAACCAACCTCAATACGAATGATAGAAAACTTTTGAACCCCTCAAAAAAAGAAACACCTCTAAACACTCTATGAAATAAATCCGAAGGAACCTAAGTTTATCATACCCAACCATACAAGAGATAATGTCCACAATTTTTTCAAAAATTCACATACACCATAATTCATAATCCCAAATTTCTCAAGATACTAGAATACTTCAAGAAAATATACAAGAGATTGGCAAGTACATTATCAATTTGATCAAATTCAAGATCTAGGGTTTTTGAATGAAGAACATGTAATTTTAAATGTAAATCATGTGTTTATTCAAAAAAAGGATACATATCGAATATGAATCAAAAGATACATTTACATAACCTAATCCTCAAGAATAAATTTGGGAAATAAACCTCACCTTAATTTGTAGTTAACTGTTCCTAATATATTTTAATGCAATTCATACGCGCTAATCCTTCAAGATCTCACCATTTTTTCTCTCTCCCAATTCCTCTTAGCTTCCAAAGGATGAAAAACTACTTAAACATCCCTAAAACATGTCCTTATAATATTTATAGTGTTAAAAACTGTTCTTTGATCTAGTAGAATCCTGCACTCGCCTTTGAACGGAGCAATTTGCATTTGACCGGAATTTGCTCCTAGTATTTTTTCTACTGAAAATCCATCAGGCATGTCCTGTGTTGGAACGAGACGTGGTGCATTCGATGAACTCTAAGATATTATAACCTATTTCAATTTTTCAAGCCCATTTTGACCTAGTTAGAAGACAATTATTTTCATGAAATACATTTTTATGCATTTTTAAGTTTTCTTTCCAATGCTGCAAGAATAAGCCAAATCGGACATCAAGGTAAAAAGTTATGGTCAAAATACTGAAATAGTACCAAATTCTTTCATACCCGAATTCTTCATAAAATGCATTTTAACTTCGAAATATTTTCAAACTTCTAATACACCTCATATCATTTTTTCCGAGGTATCTTGATCTTTGGGATCCAATGGTAGTCTTATTTTAACCAAAAAATATTTAAAAACTTATGTCTATCTTTGTCAAACTTAGATGCTTTCGAAATTAAATTCGACCCAAATTTCAATTCGCGCAAAACTCAAATTTTATAATCAATCTTTTAAAAACGAATTGATGTTTTTATCACTATTTTTTTTTTTTTTAAAATAACATTATTTTTATTTTTATTTATTTTACGATATCTTTTAAAAGGCTATGTCAATCACCAATGAACCTAACACTTTAGTGAATGGTTGGGATAGAAAGTGATCGCTCTGCCTTTATACTTTTATTTACATGGTTTTGTGTTTGCCTTAGGTTTTCTCAATGATTTGGGTTGTGTGGGTAAGAGTGAAGTTTTGTGCTAGACAAAATCATTTGAATGCAACCTCTAAAGGTGCATATGAACTCCGCCAATGTTCTCGTCCACTGCCTATTTTCTTTAATAGAAAAAATAGATTCTTAAAAGTGTGTTTGAAGTGACTTGCTAAAAATCCTTATAGAAATTATTTTTCATAAATACTTTAAAAAAAATAGTGTTTAAAACTGTCTCACCACCACCGCCATCGTCGCCGCCCCTGCCACCGCCGCCGTTGCCGCCACCATCCTCGTCGCCGTCGTCGTTGCTGCCCCCACCACCGCCACTATCGTCATCGTCACCACCGCCATCGCTGCCACCACCACCGTCGTCACAGCCTCTGCCACCACCGTCATTGCCACCTACCATAACTATCACTGTCTCCTACTACCACCACCACTTCTCATCACATTACAACCGATGCTTAAATTCATTTATCTCTCCTCTATGTTTGTAATTTGATTTTGGATATGAATACAAATAAGTTTATTATTTACTATTTTTTATTACTGTGTGCCTTCAGACACAAATAATAACTAATATATATATAGAACATAAAACAGAAATCAAGTGCACACCTCATTTGTTTTGTTTAATTATGTATGCATGATCATTCCATTTACACATACGATACAATGCGCGCATCATGTCATGATGATGGTATATATTTTATTGTATTGACAAACTAAACTAAAGGCCAATCACTTGATTAATTTATAAGCAAGCAACAACCCTTTCTCTACTTGGTGCTTAATCAATATGTCCGGACAACATAAAAACAGTAGTTGACAAGATACCATTGAACCGGAAAAGGGATTCTCTTCACTCAACACTTCCACTAGGTGTTCATATAAAAAACGTATACTAATTAAGTAGGGATATTTTTTTTTTTTCTTTTTTCAACTTCCAACTTTTTTCTAATTCTTTTCAATTTCTTACTTTTCTTTGATCTTTTTTTTGTGACTGCTATGCCCCACTACTAAATACTAATGATGAGAATGAGACGGTGCTGACAAACTTGTGAGCCTTTCTCTATTTTTAAACCTTATTACATATTGATGATTGGCCTTCCACCCCAGATGAGCAATTACATTTACGGAGTTAGTATAACTGGGTTTTCTTTCTTCCACTAATCAACACCGGCACTACCTGGCAAATCACAAACCCAAAACTAACCAGCTGGGGAAGACAAACTCATCAACCCCCCCCCCCCCTCCTAAATTATTTAGCTAGCTAGGGAAGGATTTCAAACCCCACCCCACCCCATACTACGTATGATCACTTTGGATCCAATGAGAAGACTTTGGAATTTATATAAGCCTCTTATATATTATATAGCATGCATGCATGTAATGTAATTAATAATACATGACTATATATGTGATCTCTCTTCTTGAAAACATGACCACCCTTTAATTTCACAAAATCAGGCCTTATGTGGAAGACTGGACGAGTAAAGCCACAGTTAGATGGCGAATGCTTTGGTCAGTTCAGTTGGTTTTGAGAACACTAAAAAAAAAAAAAAATGCCCATTATTTGCGCCTTCAACCATTGTAGCTATTTAAAAAATTTTGAGTTTAAACTCTAAGGAGATTGATTCCATGCAAATCCTCGGCTTTTGCATGAGCAAACAACTGTGAATTTGAAGTATTTGGTTTGGGCATATGTGGTGTAGGCCACAACACAACTAATTGACATTATTGTCAGTCAGTTCCACCTAGATTAGATAAAGTAAAAGGAAGGTATATTCAACATTCAATTGTGTAATGAAGGTTTTAGAAGGAGGGTGTAGCTTTCATATAGTTCAATCTTAGCTACCCTTAGTAATTATTCTCATCTGACCATATAGCAATGATACAATACAATGTCGATTCAATGGCAATATCATATATTTTTTAAGTAAAACAAGTAGTTGTAATAAGAACATGAACTCCACTTAAAAAAACTAGTCAAAAAAATTGTCATTTGAAATTATTGTTGTTAGATCTCCGTATAAACTTTTGATGTGAAATTCAACCCCCAAGTTAATGTGAGTTGTTAAAATAGCAGTGTTATATGTCAAACTATAACTATCCGACCCAAAAAAATAAAATAAATAGTACCACTAGTGTTACGTAACAGACCAAAATTGCAATATTTATTGGAAGGAACATACATTTAGGTCAACTAGCCAGCTAGCTGGGCTGGAGTGCATGAGTATCTTCTGGCATTACGTTAAGTTATACTATTTTGTGTCTACATTTTGTATTCATTCCTTTTGGTTTATACGGTGATCGAGCTGCGGGGTGGGGGATTGGTTGACCTTTTTGCCCCACTCAATATCTTGTTCTGATGGGATGGTTCATGGGTTCATCTTTTATTTGCTGTTCACATTCACCTCATCAAATAGCACCTCTGATGCATTACCACACTTACTGCAATATTACATGCAAGATTATTCCTGCGTACCAATTGGTCAATTAAGTAGGTAGGGGATTTCAAATTTTCTTAGAATTGGCATTCGCCAATTACCATCAACCCCCTCCTCCCAGCCTCACTTAGCTTGTGGTATTTGGTCAAAATAATGCCAAGAAATACTATTCATACCTTATTCTGTATGTTAGTAGTAACTTCTGTTACAAATGACGTAGAGTTGGCAAAGTGGGCAATGCGGATAAATTTATAGCCAGCGTGTCATTGATTCTCTCATCTCTCTCTCTCTCTCTGGCTTTTGTTTTTTGTAGCATTTTGAATGCAACTTAAAATTGTTTGTTGTAGTGATCAGTAATAACAGTGAAGTTGGCTTTCATTCCCTTTTGACCTGCATTCCTCTGCATCAAATCTACAGTCACGCTTTTCAACTTCTTTTGAAGCCCTTTATATATTTCCATCTTCCCTATCTTCCTTCTCTGCCTCTCCGCGCACACATTGTTTGCAGAAAGCGCTCAACGCAAACAAAAGTTTTGAAGAAGGGCTCTTTCTTGCTGCTGACTAAACCATCAAAGCACTTTCTTCAAATTGGGAGGGACCACTGATTTCTTGAAGTCTTTCTTGAGGATTAAATCATGTAATTTGGTTTGTATTTCGAGTCTTGACACCTTCTTTTTATGTTCAAAAATTCCAGTCTAAAGGCATCTGGGTATCCCAATCCCAATCCCATCCCACCTTTTGATGTAGCTAGCCTAGCATTTATTATTCTGCATCCAGCTGACCTGACCTGTTCTGGGTTTTCTCAAATCTTGACTAATAGTGCCAAGTCCTGGCCAAGTTCTAAACTTCCTAAAGTACTTCTTCTATCCCAATGATAAGGAGACACATTATGAGTCGTGTCATTTCTTGAATCTTCTGAATAGGAATGGCAGGCAATCTCATTCCGTAATGTAGAAGCCCAACGGCCTTTGTGGACTCGGCTATTCCTCACTTCTTTGTGTTTGTTTCTCTGTGAAGTTTACGTAGATAGACACCATGGAAGAGACATTTGTGCCATTTCGCGGAATCAAGAATGACCTCCAAGGTAGATTATTGTGTTACAAGCAAGATTGGACGGGTGGTTTCAGGGCAGGCCTCAGGTATGAACTCAGTTTCAACCATCAGAAAGCTTTATGGTCTTCAATTGAATTATTTAATTCTTTGGTAATGATTTACGCATCATAGATTAACAATATTAGACAGCGTTTAATCTTCTTGTATTTGGTGTTCAATTGCAAGATATTAGCTTTTGCATCGCAGACTTCCCGCAATTCTGAGTTCTAGTATAGTTCCTGGTTACATAATAGCAAGATTTTCATTTTGTAATATTTATTTTGTTGTTACTTTTTCCAGGATACTGGCTCCCACCACATATATATTCTTTGCTTCGGCGATCCCGGTTATTTCATTTGGTGAACAACTGGAGAGAAACACTGGTATATACTCTAAATGAATTTTCATGAGTGTCTTTAAATGTTACTGAATTTGTAGTTAGCGATGACACATGAAAGTAAAAACTATCGGAACTCCGCTGTTAGAAATATAATACGTTCTGATTAGTATCAAAGCTATGTTAATGATCCTACCGGAATTTTGATGCACTGTTTTGTAACCCTTACCTGCAGATGGAGTTTTGACAGCAGTTCAAACCTTAGCATCCACTGCTATTTGTGGGATTATACACTCTATCATTGGTGGTCAACCTTTGCTGATTTTAGGAGTTGCAGAACCCACTGTGATAATGTACACGTTCATGTATAACTTTGCTAAGCAGAGACCAGATTTGGGTCATAACCTCTTTCTTGCCTGGACTGGATGGTGAGGCTTATCTCTCTCCCTTAGTTCCTGAATTATTCAGAACTGTACTACTTTCTATATATGTGTTTGGCATGTATTGCGATGCTGCTTCTTCAAGTTCTCTATACTTGATGATTGTCAATCGCGTCTAGTATTGTTTAACTGGTTATGATTCTTCAGGGTATGTGTGTGGACTGCAATCTTGCTGTTCCTACTGGCTATCTTAGGAGCTTGCTCCATTATCAATAGGTTTACCCGTGTGGCTGGGGAATTGTTTGGTTTGCTAATCGCAATGCTTTTCATGCAGCAAGCTATCAAAGTAAGAACATATTTTCCATAGTTTCTCCTACTCCCGGTTTCTTCTCAATAATGCCAATATTAAACTTTCAGGAATCTAGTTTAATTAAAACTGGCACGTCAATGTATATTGTTTTGAATTCTTGCTGTGGAGGATGTATCTAACAGTAAAGCCTTCTGAATTAATTGTGGATTATATTTTGAAAGTTTTTATTATAATTTGTCTTGTAGGGACTAGTGGAAGAGTTTAGCATTCCACAGCGAGAAAATTCAAATTTAACTGAGTTTATACCTTCTTGGAGATTTGCAAATGGGATGTTTGCTTTGGTTCTGTCGTTTGGCCTTCTGCTCACTGCATTACGAAGCCGAAAAGCAAGGTCATGGCGATATGGGACTGGTATGCATGTGTAGCAAAACTTTGGATCACTTGAGCATCTGTTGAACAAGGGCTCTTTTTCATTTGTTCTCATACACTGTATTGTCAACAGATGCTCTTTTTCATTTGTTCTCATACAGTGTATTGCTGATAGTGTTTCTTCAAAATTCACAATCTTGGTCACATTTCAACTCTGTTATTTATGGTTTTGTCCACAGGTTGGCTTAGAAGTCTTGTTGCTGATTATGGAGTGCCACTTATGGTTCTAGTGTGGACAGCTGTGTCGTACATACCAGCTGGAAGTGTTCCAAAAGGGATCCCACGTCGCCTCTTTAGCCCGAATCCATGGTCTCCTGGTGCATATGAGAATTGGACTGTTATTAAGGCATGGACAATCAAGTTATCTTTTAAACCAGAACACTTTTCAAACTGGTTATTAAGGCATGTCCACAGGTTAAATTTATGACTTGTGATTCAAACTGGCAGGACATGCTAAATGTGCCCATTCTCTATATACTTGGAGCTTTTGTTCCTGCAACCATGATTGCGGTACTTTATTATTTTGACCACAGTGTGGCATCTCAACTGGCTCAACAAAAGGAATTCAATTTGAGAAAACCACCTTCTTTCCATTATGACTTGCTGCTTTTGGGGTTCTTGGTATGCAAGTTCTTCTTGCTGCCTCACAATTATTCTTTCCTTTCAGAATTTATATGCTATTCTATCTTGCTTTTTCTTAGGTTAGATATTTAAAATCTTGTTTCTTGATGTCAGACCTTAATGTGTGGTCTGCTTGGAATCCCTCCATCGAATGGCGTGATCCCACAATCCCCAATGCATACAAAGAGCCTAGCTACCCTCAAACATCAGGTAATCTACCTCAGCCAAACTTTTTTCCATGGGCAATTCCTGCATTTTAGATATGGCTTGCTAATTTAGCACCAGATAAGGCTCTGTCTCTACAATTTTTGGTTACTTATGCGGAAAATTTCATCCCAAGTAATACCTATGGAGTATGCAGTTGCTTCGAAATCGACTCGTTGCTACAGCACGCCAAAGTATGAGGAAGAACTCAAGCTTGGGAAAGTTGTATGGGAATATGCAAGAAGCCTATCAACAAATGCAAACTCCTTTGATTTACCAGGGGCACTCAGCTCAAGTATGTATATAGCTTAGTTGTTTTAGTTTCAATATACGATGCATTTCTTCATAGCTTTCCCTGTTAATCAACAATACTGTAGGTTAGACAGTATGCAAGTCAGTCTAACTCCATTTTATGGTTAAAATGGTAGAAAGATGTAAAATCCTGGTTATAATTTTTGAAAAGGCCTGACAAAGATGTTCTCAGCTGATTTGTAAATGGCAACAAAGCAATAATGTTTTTTGAGTCCATTAAGTTTTCTAACATTCCTGATTTTAGCTCACCATGCAATGAATCACCACCCTGTTAAAGACAAAGTACATGTTTATCGACCAGGGTCTGAAGGAGTTAAAAGAATCCACAATTCAATTAGCATCAAGCACGGGAAACATTGATGCCCCAGTTGACGAGACAGTTTTTGATGTGGAGAAGGATATTGATGAGTTATTGCCTGTTGAGGTAAAAGAACAACGTCTAAGTAACTTGCTTCAAGCCACTATGGTGGGAGGATGTGTTGCTGCCATGCCTTTCCTCAGAATGATTCCAACCTCAGTCCTGTGGGGATACTTTGCTTTTATGGCAATTGAAAGTTTACCGGGTAACCAATTTTGGGATAGAATATTACTGCTGTTTACTGCCCCCAGCAGAAGATACAAGTAACTTCTTTGATCCTTTTATTAGGTTCTCCTTTCACATGCCACCTTTTTAAGATTCTTAAGGGGTCTACTATTCTTGCTGCAGAGTTTTGGAGGACAACCATGCCACCTTTGTGGAGACTGTACCATTCAAGACAATTGCAACATTTACAATATTCCAGACAACATATTTGCTTATTTGTTTCGGTATTACATGGGTTCCACTTGCAGGGGTTTTGTTCTCTTTGATGATCATGCTTTTGGTTCCTGTAAGACAATACCTTCTACCCAAGTTTTTCAAAGGAGCACACCTTCAGGATTTGGATGCAGCAGAATTTGAAGAGGCACCAGCTGTACCATTTAATCTTGCCACAGTAAGATATCCTTCCAATTCGCCGAAAGATTCCCCTATCTCGCCTTCCGAATATTTCCACAGACATGAATAACCTTCGACTCTATTTCCCAGAAAAATTTACTTACTGGACTCTATTGCTAGAACTCTGGTCTTAGTGCGTTTTAATTTTGTTCAAACAGGAGGGAGACCTGGGTGCTAGAGCCTCTTTTGCAGATGGTGGAGAGATTTTAGATGAGATTATTACCAGAAGTCGTGGTGAAATCAGGCACGTGTGCAGTCCTAAGGTGACTAGCTCCACTGCAACCCCTGCAAGAGATACTAAACTTCTTCAGAGCCCCCGCTTCTCAGAGAAGGCATATAGTCCTCGCATTAATGAACTAAAAGGGGAGCTGAGTCCACGATCAAGCGGAAGAGGACCTTTGAGTCCAAGAACTGGAGAACCAAAGCCATCTAATTTGGGAATAAGTCCACGTACCTCAACTTCAAATTAGTCAGACAAAATTGAGTGACTTAATCTGCTGCAAATCTTAGATGGTTTATATATCATTTCGTATTTGCGGTTGTTGGTTCACTGTGTTTTTGGTTTGGAGTTTGTTCGTCTTCTTTCTTTGCCTTTGGGAGAAAAGATCCATATCGTTAGACTTGCATTGCTTTTTGTGTAGTATCAATAAACTTGCGTTACTTCCTTGTAATATAATAGACATGTATCGCTTTCTTGTAATTATAATGCCAATGAACATTATTGTTTCCTGAGTGTTACTTCTGAATTGTTGCTTGAAAACTGCAAGGGAAATAGCTGTTCCGAAAAGAATTGTCACACTTTACTCCTAAATTGTACATGAAGCACTCAATAAACCATCTTGATCTCCTCCCTTCTCTTGCCTCACTTTGATTGCCCTTTCAACTAGTTTTTCCATTCATTTATTTTTGCAAAAAAGTGGAGAATTCTGATGACTTGATGAAAAAATATATCGGTCAATAAACATGATACTTGACAGAGAATTGAGATGTTTATGTTTTTCTTCAATACTACTACTGTTATAGTTGGAAGCCAATAATTAAGTCCTTCAAACGTAATATGGCAAGTTGCATCATCATCTGAATGAATGAGTCATGACTTCCCAACCTGTAACTCAATGTACTGGGACTGTTGGTGATATCTTACCCATAAAATACTGATGGAGTACCTGAAAATGAGGAAAAAAAGATGACACATCTTAAAACCTACTATGTGAACTCCATTTATCAAGTAGAAAAAGAAGGAAAATAACCAGAAACAACAATCTAAATCTTGCAAATGAGGTGAACTGGTTGGAAAGACATTGATTAGTGCATAATAATAATCAACCATGAGCATGACCTGCCTCAGTAGTAATTCTATATTTCCCTGTTTTTCGCGAATTACCACTATGGACAGTGAAGTTTCAAGTTTAGGTTAGGCCCCAAAAACCAAATACAGAGGTTAAAAGTGTCATCGATGAAGTAAGCTCTACCCTTTCTTATCCAACGTCCACGATTTTGTTCAAGTTCATATGCAAGCATCTTAGTGCATCAAGAACTTGTACGAAGCACCTTATTAATTTTGGTTCAATAACTTACATTAAAGTGAGTGACATTCGTCGTTTGCTCTCATTATTTTTTGGTTTTATGAGGAGGGGTCAAGATTTCAATGATGTTGGAGTTGAAACATGGAGTGGAGAACTGCATTAGACAACTGGATTGACATGGAAAGAGAGCTTTTGGAATAGTTTCATAAGAAAAGCATCGGTCAGAAACATCTCCCTGAAAGCATTTGAAGAATGTTTAGGCCCAACATTCTTGATTGCCGAGAGGAATGCATGAGGGTTGTGGTGTTTATTGCATTGACTTGCTTCGGTGGGAAACATGGGAAGTCCCTTTCTCATTATTTCAGGATCTTTGTCATTTGCCTTCAATTCAGTGAATAAATCCGAAAGACTAGTCTACTTTTGATCTATCTTGAAAGTAGCGCAACATCAGCGATTTGGAGACACCAGAAAAGACATCTGGCTGACCATAAAGCTAGCTCGCGTGCGTGGTGGGTGGTGGGTGTATGACAGGTGATGTCACACACCCACCCCCCGCGATCATATAGGATGAATAGTGGATTGACAATTAAGGCCTTAATCAATCACTCATGTGCATGATTAATGCAAAATATAGCAGAAGACAAATAATAAAGTGATCCTTTTCACCGACCTAATGAATACCAGAGAAATAAATTAACATCATCGACATTATTACTAAACTCATGTAAAACAATAATTAATCCATAAGATTTACTACTCTAAGCAAAAACAATATTATTCTCAAAACAATCAAATACTTATTTCAAAACTATAAAAAATATTTATTCCTGAAGACGTACAATAAAATAAATTTTCGATTCTTCTAATTTCTTGTCTATTTGAGGACTTACTCCTCCTCCTGATTCTCACCTGAAAAATGTTAAATATTTAGGTGAGCATAAAAGTCCGTAAGTAGCAACCACCTCTAATGAGGTTTGAAAATAAATCTCACATTTCATATACACAGAAATAAATTTTGTTATATACATAAATATAATAAATTGTACCTCAATCCCTTTCACATAACCATGTAAACAAAATGATCTCCTGATCATAATAACTTTATAGAAGAAAAAACATTTATAGCTCAAAACACTCATACACACATTCAGTCTTAAATACACTTGTCAAATCATGTTTGTTACCACTAGTTTGGTAACTGACCCCATCTCTTGTCATCACTAGTCTGATGACTGGCCCCGTCTTTTATTATCACTAGTCAGATAACTGGCCCCTATGTGCACATCTCTATACCGACCACGCCGGTATACAATCTCGTTACCATTTAGACCTGGTAACTCAGTCCCCTTCTCATAAAATATGATTTTAACATATACTAAAACTGTTATTTTAGTCTCAACGCACACAAAATTTATCTTTTATCACCAAAATTATTTAAGCAATAATATAAAATCATCTCATAAGTTTTGCAAATTCACATGTGTAACAATTCACAATTGCAAAAACATTTAATTGCAACCCCGAACATCAACATATATCATATATATGAAAAATTCACACACACGCACCCACAAGTTTAATATAAAAAAATTCTCCCAAAAGAAGTAATAAACTACTCATCTTGATTTCCAAAATTCAATTCAAAATACTATTTCTCAACCTCAATGCAATCACCACCTAATTCAAAATAACATATAATGATCAATTCTTATTTCTAACTTCGTCATTTCGTGATTCTATATTTAATTTACGTACTTTCTACTCTTTGATATATACTTAATATATCTTTTACATATAAACATCCTTTCTAATACAAAGGAATAGGATATGGAAGTATTCTGGGCTGTTTGAAAAAAGTTTCTAAAGTTCTAGGGTCAAATCATAATTTTTAAAACTTTTGGGGCCAAAGTATAATTTTCTTAAAAAAACGAATTTTCTGTTTTCAAGCTTGCCATAAATTTTCCAGAATTCTGTTCTTGCAACTTATCAAGTAAAAAAGTACTTAAAATTNGATGATCAAATCTTCTATTTTTCTTCTTTCTTCTCTAAATCCCCTTCTTTCTTTCTCTTCCTTTTTCTGTACTCAAAACTCTATCCTCTCCTCTCATTTTTCTTATTCTAACGTATGTCTATATGTTGGGAAGAGAATATATATATATATATATATATATATATNCTTTATAGAAGAAAAAACATTTATAGCTCAAAACACTCATACACACATTCAGTCTTAAATACACTTGTCAAATCATGTTTGTTACCACTAGTTTGGTAACTGACCCCATCTCTTGTCATCACTAGTCTGATGACTGGCCCCGTCTTTTATTATCACTAGTCAGATAACTGGCCCCTATGTGCACATCTCTATACCGACCACGCCGGTATACAATCTCGTTACCATTTAGACCTGGTAACTCAGTCCCCTTCTCATAAAATATGATTTTAACATATACTAAAACTGTTATTTTAGTCTCAACGCACACAAAATTTATCTTTTATCACCAAAATTATTTAAGCAATAATATAAAATCATCTCATAAGTTTTGCAAATTCACATGTGTAACAATTCACAATTGCAAAAACATTTAATTGCAACCCCGAACATCAACATATATCATATATATGAAAAATTCACACACACGCACCCACAAGTTTAATATAAAAAAATTCTCCCAAAAGAAGTAATAAACTACTCATCTTGATTTCCAAAATTCAATTCAAAATACTATTTCTCAACCTCAATGCAATCACCACCTAATTCAAAATAACATATAATGATCAATTCTTATTTCTAACTTCGTCATTTCGTGATTCTATATTTAATTTACGTACTTTCTACTCTTTGATATATACTTAATATATCTTTTACATATAAACATCCTTTCTAATACAAAGGAATAGGATATGGAAGTATTCTGGGCTGTTTGAAAAAAGTTTCTAAAGTTCTAGGGTCAAATCATAATTTTTAAAACTTTTGGGGCCAAAGTATAATTTTCTTAAAAAAACGAATTTTCTGTTTTCAAGCTTGCCATAAATTTTCCAGAATTCTGTTCTTGCAACTTATCAAGTAAAAAAGTACTTAAAATTAAGTTTAGAAGAATAAAGGGGTCAAAATAAAATTTCTTAAACTAAAGGGGAGTTTTCTGTAATTTTTTTTGAATTTTGGCCTTCTTCTTCCGACGATTGAACTTGGAACCAGTATACTTCCTTTTCCCTTTTTTTTCTTTTTGCTTTGTAAGATATTAAACAAATTCTTTAAACCCTCAAAAACAATAAATCTAATATTAGGTCTCAAAACACTTAAATTAACAATTTCCANCATTTTAGTCATTAGACTTCTAGGGCAACAAGAGAACTCATTTTAATTACACTTTTATCCTCTCTTTTTTTTTTTTAATTTTGTCCTATTTTGACTGGCTACATATATGTAAATACAAAATAAAAGAAATCGTACAATAACCCAACGATTCCTCATTCATTAATTACACTAACACCCATTTTCAAAAATAATATCACAAATTGATCTAAACTGAGTTATATATATATATATATATATTTCAAAAATTTGGGGTATTACAGGTGACTTGATCCACAAGTGGATGCATGATAAAAGAATCGTCCATTGAGATGTTGTTGTGCGGTCACTCTCCGCCATGTGTTTGTATAGATGAATGTCTAATTCTGATCTATTCCATACTTATATTTTGTTGGAAGGAAGATCTCAAGAGTTGTTGACAACGTATGTATCGAATATCAAAAAAATTTCTTTAATACCTTACAAGGCAGAATTAGGGTTTACCTTCGAGATCCATCGGAATTGATTTATTCTCAGCACGAAAGAATAGAATTAACAAGCAACCAAAAGACCTCGCGCCCTTCTATCGTATATCCCCAAACGTCATAATTCAGATGCAATATAAGCTGGATGCAATATGGGATGCCAAGACCTCTAAATCCTTGCTCTTTCTTTCGGTCTATCTAAAAAACGTGAGTGAAGAATAGATGCTAAATAAGAGAGCCTAGACGTTTATATATAAGCTACGACAAAGACCCTAAAGATTGGACTTCCAATAGAATTAGGAATTCTATGTTCAACCCAGAACAAACATTCTACAACTCATTAATAATAAGTCAGTTCACTAAAGACTTATTATTGATC